CATGTGAACTCGCCAAAAATTACGGGGAATCTTCAGATTGTCACCCCGCACCTTCTCTTCCCCTTTCCTATACCTACACACATTTTTATTTGATTTATCAGTCTGAAGACGAAATAGATAGTTGAAACTCCGACCATCCAATTTTTTCAGCTTCGACGACCCTCTGACGACTTCTTACCCTATGCTGCTGCCTCGTCCTTTATTTCTTGTGTTTGTCACTGACAAGTAAACTTGTGTTTATTTTTGTTTTCACTAGATGAAAGGGCTCTTTTAAAAATGGATGTGATGTTCTTCCTTATGAATCTCTTTATATTTTTTTGAGTTTTTATTTAATGGATCTGTCTAATGTGAAATATGAGGTATCAATTGGTAAATTTTTACCAGATTCTGATGCTCTAGGTTAAAGGCATAAAAGTTCTCTTCTATACTTCCATAAATTCCAAGTCCATGGAATTATATGGTTGAATTATATATATTTAAGGAAGCAAACTAGTATGAGTTCTACCGGTAATGGTGTTTTGCAGTGTGTTACATGATTGGGCCTTTTATTTTGGTCAGGTGGCTCTTTTAAAGTGAATCTGGTTAAAAGAAATGGCTTGGATTGAATTAATTAGGTGCAGCCACGTGACATTCCATCTAAAATAAGGGCATATTTATTCTATAGTATAACGATAGGGTTCAAAATGACCAAATAGTTTAACGAAGGGTATATTTAAACTATTTTTGATAGTATGGGATATATTTGACCCTTTCTTCGTATAATAAAAAGTAATAAAAAGGTGATAAAGAGTAATAAAGGATAATAAAGCCTACTAAAGGCTAATAAAGACCTAAGGAATCTTGGAGTCTTCTATAATGTTTCTGTAACAGTCATATCTTGAATTGCTTCTTATCCGGCCACAGGTTTGTATCCGGTGTCAACATCTTATACGGTCACATATTTGTATCTAGTGTCAACATAGTTGAATCATTGTTGATTGGTTATCCTTAACACGTGTTGCTTTCTAATGCATCCTACTTTTGAGACCGATTTTTATCGTATGTAACGGTAACATACAACTCCTAAGTACTCGAGGATTTGTTAAAAAAAGAATTTCGGAACTCTTAGTGTCTCTTTATGCATTTTTCTATTTTATTTGTGCAGACGAGTTACATTTTAGGAGAGCAAATTGATTTTGAAAAAGTTGATCAGAGTGTTGTTAACCGATGTATAGTATTCGAGCTTTAAATTTAATGTTAATATATCTTTAAGTTATGCGCTTGACTAACCAAGGATATTCCCTCTCTCTTTATATATATATATATATATATATATATATATATATATATATATATATATCAAGAAAAAATTTAGGTACAAAATTTTTAATCACTATATGATGATAGATGGACAGACTCTACAAAATTAATAATAGAATTAACAGAAGTAGACATGACAAATAATGGAGGAATATTTTATTGTAGTCCAAATAATATGATAAATCTTGTAGAATTTGGAAAGCATATTAAAATAGGAATATATATATATATATATATATATATATATATATATATATATATAGATAGATAGATAGATAGATAGATAGATAGATAGATAGATAGATAGATAGAGAGAGAGAGAGAGAGAGAGAGAGAGAGANTGTGCTTGTAACTCTAAGTTAAGGACTACTTGTCCTTAATTTCTATGCTTGTAACTCTAAGTTAAGGATCAAGTGTCCTTAATTTTTGAACTTCTAACTCTAAGTTTAGGACCAAGTGTCCTTAACTTATGAGCTTGTTAATGTAAGTTCAGGACTAGTTGTCCTTAATTTATGAGCTTGTAAGTCTAAGTTAAGGACTACTTGTCCTTAGTTTTTGAACTTGTAACTCTAAGTTTAGGACCAAGTGTCCTTAACTTATGAGCTTGTTAATGTAAGTTCAGGACTAGCTGTCGTTAATTTATGAACTTGTAAGTCTAAGTTAAGGACTACTTGTCCTTAATTTTTGAACTTGTAACTCTAAGTTTAGGACTACCTGTCCTTAACTTTTGAACTTGTAGCTCTAAGTTCAGGACTACATGTCCTTAACTTCTGAACTTGGAACTCCAAGTTCAGGACTACCTATCCTTAATTTCTGTGCTTGTGACTCTAAGTTAAGGACTATCTGTCCTTAATTTCCATGCTTGTAACTCTATGTTAAGGACCAAGTGTCCTTAATTTTTGAAGTTCTAACTCTAAGTTCAAGACCAAGTACCTACCACAACCATGACTCTTTATGTCTTCTGCTATGCATTTTGTGTAACCCGGTAACACCTAGAATTGCACTGACTGTATTTGCCTCGCCAAAAACATCAAGATTACAATTATCAAAATCAATATTAATAGCAAAATTGGGAATAATAATTGATAGATACTTTATATTGTTTTAGGGTATGATTACGAAAATGAGTTGAAAAAGAAAGGGCAGTATATGTTCACAGGAACAAGACTTTTTGATTTGATTGAGAGTGGGAAGAATTTGATAGTTGTCAGCACAAGTTGGACGTTATCTTCATTATTGGTATACCAGGACTTGATAGAGGGTTTGGGAAGGAAAAAAGATAGAAGAAAGGGTAACAGTCTTTTCATATTAATTTTAATAGACTAGTGGCTACTATTGCTAAGCATTAAAAATGCTGGATAAAAAGTAAATACCACTTTAAAAAGTGGCTACCCCACACAACTTTTACTTTATCCGTTCGGCCAAAAGTGTGTATATATATATATATATAGATAGATAGATAGATAGATAGATAGATAGATAGATAGAGAGAGAGAGAGAGAGAGAGAGAGAGAGAGAGTTCTTATTTTAAAAGTATGTCTAATATCTTGAATTGCATAGTTCGACTTAGAACAGTGTTCCTGAAGTTAAACTTTAAGAAGTGAACTATAATCACAATGTTCTAAAGTTCAAGAAGTGGATATTTTACGCTTTTGATTTTTTTGATTATTTTCAAAATACTTTACAAACACTAACAATGTTTCAAACAACAACGAACTTCAGACAATTTTTTATTTAAAAATATCATATGTGTTTGGAGTTTGATTTGATTTATCAGACCAAATAATTCCTGACATTTTCGAATGAACTTTGGTCTAACTAGTTTTACCAATGATACATTATTTCACTAACGATATTTGAATTTTCATTTGATTATATTTTACCGATGGTTCCTCAAAAATCATTTATATTACTCTCCTTTATTTCTCGATTGGTACCTCAATTTCATTTATGCCATTTAAGCCTATTAGCGACAAAGTAAATATAAGATATTATGGGGCTTCATAGATTTAAGATTGATTACATAAATGAATTTTTGGAGATTTACGAACTTAAGGTATAGTTAATCTCACAAATCTGTTGGCCAACGCCTGAACATCTATAGCTAACGGTCTCTTCACAGCTGGAATGAATGCTAAACTCCCCATGATTGGTTCTTTTTATTTGTTACGATAGCAATAATTCTTTCACAACTAGCTGCCAAGGCTTTTGCTAAGCAACATCAAATCAAACTCATTAACATGACAATGTTAATAGGAGCCACTGAGATTTCTTCTTCTAACTCCTTCCTAAGTTGGAGGAACTAATAATCTAATATCATGTTTGGCCAAACTTCTAAAACCAACTTATTTTGAAATGTATTTTTTTTTTCAAAAGTACTTTTCAAAAAAAATACTTTTGGTAAGAAGCAACTTGTGTTTAACTAATTAATTTAAAAAGCACGTTTGAGCAACAATTAGTATTTGACTGAAGCTTTTAAAAAAATGCTTCTAATAGCTTGTTTGGCCAAAACACGTTTTTTCCTTCTAACGTTGAAGTGTTTGGTTAAGCTTTTAGAAGAAAAAAAGGTGCTTTTGAATAGAAGCATAAGTATTTTTTGAGAAGCAGAAAAAAGTAATTTCTCCCGATAAACACTTTTTAAAATAACACATTTGAGAAACATACACTTAAAAGCACTTCTAAAAGCCTGGCCAAACACTAATTGCTGCTCAAAAGTACTTTTTAAATTAATTAGCCAAACACAAATTTTTTCCTACCGAAAGTTCTTTTACAAAAAGCACATTTGAGAAAAAACACTTCTCAAAATAAGCTGATTTTAGAAGCTTGGCCAAACATGCTATAACCGTATTTTCTGAAAAGTACTTTTGAGGAGAACGATACTTTTTTTGCTTCTCAATAACTTGTTTCTTCTTATAATCCAAAGTACTATTCTTTCCGGGAGAAATTAAAAAATAGCCAGATTTACAAGTGGTCGTTCAAAAATAGCCAGTTTCAAAAGTAATCGAAATTTAGCCACTTTTCATGTAAAGATAAATGTGAGCGAAAACACTGTTCAAAACCCGAAAAATACGCCAGTATATTATGCTGGAGTTCCAGCATAAGTATACTTGAACTCCAGCATATTATACTAGAGTTCCAGGATAAGTATGCTGGAACTCCAGCATAATATGATGGACTTCCAGCATAAGTATACTAGAACTCCAGCATAATATACTGGAGTTCCAACAAAGTATACCGGTCCAGTATAATATGCTGGAAGTTCATACACAAGTGCTCGAATCTCCAATATTTATGCTGGAACTTTCCGTGTGTTGGAGTTCCAGCATAATATGCTGGAAGTTCATACACAGGTACACCGAACTCCAGTATATTATGCTGGACGGTCTCTGTTGCAGCAAAATAGTGGCTATTTTTCATTGACTTGGTAAACGCTGGCTATTTTTTAATGACCAGTCCGAAAACTGACTAGACCGTGCTATTTTTACTTTCTTTCCTTCTAAGAACTTGGCCAAACACTTTAATTTTGAAAAAAATACTTTTGGCCCAAAAACAGGGGGCAAAGATTGGCCAAACAGGCTATAAGTGGCCACAAGTATAATATTGCTTTTAAAAAGTGGCTACGCCTTGAATAGCGCTGTGCAAATACTCTGCCCCATTTTACGGTGTGTTGTCGCGTGGCCAGTTATATGAACTCGGCCCAATAGCCGCTCCAACTCCAAGCCCCAAATTTTCCTCAACAAATTCAAAATCCCCAACTGATATCCCTCTCTCAGCACAGCACAAAATGGTTAAATCCAAAAAATCCTTTTCAAATCTCCATTTATGATATCTCTCCTTCAGGCCAACGCACTATTTCATCCGTATCTTCTATCCGGCTCGGCGGAACCCTACACCAGGTGGCGGCCGACGGCAAGGCAATTTCTCCGGCCTCATTCAAAACCCTATGTATAAATAAAACCCTAGCTACTCTCATTGTTAACATGGCCGGGGGACCGATTCGGGAGCAAGCTCTACCGCTACTCGCAGCCGCTAATAACCACGGTGATTTGACAGTAAAGCTATCTTCGTTGAAGCAACTGAAAGATATACTGTTATCAGCTGAGCCATCACAGGTTGCTGAGCTTTTCCCTTATTTAATAGACCTTAAGTCATCGCCCCAAAGTCTCGTTCGCAAATGCCTCATTGAGTAAGTTAATCCTTTTCCATTTTGTATGGTACTAGTACAATTAGGAACTCAACCATTTTTTATATAGTTCGTAAATATGTATAAATTTTATTTTAAATTTAAAAGTATCAGCATTGAGATAAAATATTGAACTTTTGGGAGTACATGGTAGTGTCTCTTTTGGTGATAGGGAGTGGTAAATAGTGGGTGCTTGAATCAAATTGGCTTAGTTTCTGCTAAGGAAATAAATTATTGCACCTTTTTGTGTGATTGAATTGGTTCGTTAGATTTGTATTAGAAGTTTATTGGTATGTTAGGTACAAATATATGTTTCAAGGTAGCGGAGGGTGTTGCATTTATGTATTTCCCTTTTTGTGATTGACAAGGATTGATAATTACAGCTTGACACCTTCTTTTGCACATAATAAAGGTAGGTCTTGCTAAAATTTAATTACTCCTGGACAGGAGAGGTTGCTCTAGCTGTCAGAGCCATCTGCTTCTAACCAAGAGGTTGGGCGGTCAAGTCAGCAAGGGGGTGGGGGTGGAACAGGGAATTCCACTCTTCGTCCCTGAGTAGGGGTATTTATTTGGGGGTGGGGTACCAAATGAAAAACATAATAAAATTGATTACTTGCTGTTGCAATTGGTAGTTGGTAAGTTGCTGTCAGCTGATGCTAGAATAGAGTTGTAACAAATGTGCTTGCATGCGATTGGTATTCTGATTTTATGGATATTGGTTTTTTCTCGATATTGTTTTCGTCATTCTAACCTTATTGTACATCTATGTCAGGGTAATTGAGGTGGTTGGGATGAAAGCAAAAGAGCATTCATTGGTGTTAATGCCCGTGTTATTCGCATGTTTAAAAGATACAAGTTCCATGGTGACAAAGCAATCAATTATATCTGGCATGAAAATCTATTGTGGCGTGTTGGAGGAATTATCATATCAGGTCACATGCTTGTTCATAGTTCTGCATTTGCTTCTTTTGCTCTATCTTGTTGACTGAGCCTTCATGCAGCATAGGCTTGTTCCACTCTGATCTTTAGTCATGGCTGTAAATCTTCTGAGGAGATCTTTGGTCTCTTCATCCCTTATCCCCTCCAAAAAAAAGGTTTGGTCTCTGCAATGCGAGTCTTGTGACTTGGGCCACCTCATTTGTTTTCTGATGTTTTAGACTTGTTAGTATTTTACCATAAATGCATAAATTTCATCTGTGCTCAATCAGAAGCTTGGATGATAACGTGTTGGTTAGGGATGATAAGATTTAAAGGAGGCCGAAGGCTAATCTTGTAGGCTCTCTTTCAAGTTTGGAGACACAATGTTTGGTTCTGAAATCTTCTTTTCGTGCTAGTTCTTTCTGAAAGATTTTAAAACCAAAAATGTAGTAAACAGATGCTAGTTAACATAGCTTGACATTTCTATGTAATCATATAGTGGTATTCCCTTTGTTCATTTAGTAATTATTCATTCACTCTAGAAAGCAAAGTGAAGTTTGGTCGGTTGACGGCAGATTAAGTATTTTTGTGCCTGACTAGTGCCATTAGTGATTGCTGTACTATAGAGGGTTGTGCGGTATAAAGAACGTGTTGGCAGGGAGGTTGATGCTATAAGATGTGCTTTTAATACCTTAATGCTTCATGCCTATCTTGTCAGGTTCTTGAAACTATGCTAGATTTTGTTTTAACAGAACTTATCTTTTTGTGTCTGATATGCATTAGAGTCGCTAGCTTTGGTTGGGTGTGTGGTTGTGTGTATGTATATTATCTTTAAGTTTATCCTCCCCATCCTTGTGCACTTTCTGTTACTCCTTCAGTCCCAATTTATGTGGCATCGTTTGACTTTGCCCGTAAATTATGAAAGGACTTTTTAAAATTTGTGGTCTAAAATTAACCTTAGACATTTGTGGCCATAAATCATCTCTCTAAGGGTAAAATGGAAACTTTGACGTTAAATTGTTTCTAAACAAAGAAAGGCGACGTTCTTTTTGAGACGGACAAAAAAGGAAAGAGTGCGACAGAAATTGGGACAGAGGGAGTACATGTTTAATTTGTCATTCTGTTCAAGCTTATCTTCTTCTCTAATACACTTGAGGTTCTAAATCCTTCTTTTATAAATTATAGTTTTACCGGCATGGTATAGTTGAGAGGTGGCTTGATGAGCTATGGACATGGATGGTCAAGTTCAAGGATGCTGTCTTTGGCTTTCTTTTTGAGGTATCTTGTTTTGCTCGTGTAGTGTGTGCTTGTTGGCTAGTGGACTTAATTATCAATTTTGTTGTCACTTAGATCTAGGAACCGCAGCACCTTTTTGAATTCGTCCTCACAGCAACTTGCCAAAATGTTTATTCTAAAGCTTATCCTTTTCCTCTCCGTTGCTAAACGGTTTACAGTTTTACCTTGTAGAGGTTCCAACAAACTTCATATTGGACATCATCAGGATCATGATATTTTATGAACTTTTAAGACAGAATCATAATATTTTGGTGAACTAATAAAAAAGGATCATAATATTTTGTGAATGTTTTACAAATAATAAACTAGAACTTTTTGGCTGTTGGATATCTCTAATATGGTGAGAAGATTCATCCTTCCGTAGGTACTTATTTATTTACTAGACTGGTATGCCCGTGCAAATGCACGGGCCTGACGTGTGAGTCAACGCATTATGTTTGCCCAGAACAATGAAACTAAAAAAACATAATCTAACAAATTATGAACAACAAATTAAAGAAAGAATCTAGAAAGTCAGTTAGCATTTGGCACGAATAGATAAATTGAAGAATATTGTAAAGCACAAATTAAAAAGCCTTTTATTGAATTGATATAACAATCTGGTAAACTTGAAATCCTAGACCTGTATCTTTGCAACCAATATATGAGATTTAGTGAATATGTTGCTTTACAACTCAAGATCAGTCAAAAAGAAAAAAAAACAAATTATGTTGACACTAGAGTCTTTCATTTTTAGTTATAGAATGACCAATAATCTGGAAGAACATAATGTAGAAGATTTTATGAGAACAGAGATCGGAGAGAACACATGGTTCAATTTGTTTTTTTCTTCCTTAAGTTTCAACGCAAAATTAAGCAAATGAAGTATCTACTTGAAAAAATGGAACAACCTTCTACTGTTGTAGGAGAAAGAAAATAATACACTTTCAGCTTACTTAGCTAGCACTGAAAATAAGTCCAAGAATATTAATCAGCTAAATAACTGATCATCAATAGCTCCAGTAACTAACTGGAGCTTGTGGCTTCTCGTTAATTAATGAGTTCAACTTGTGATGTCTTCCCTTCCGCAGAGCATACCTGTGCTTCCTGCTCCAGTGAGCTAAGACCTCTTTGCTGCAAGCTTTAACCCAAACTTCAACAACCTCAAATCTAGAAACATTTGCCAACTTATGAATAGTGGAAATAAAGCTAAGAGAAGCAAGGCCTTCTAACTATTTTTGTCACAAAATGTCTAACACAATATGTTCGGTATGTGCTGAATTCATGGAATTAACCGACAACTCCGATATAGCAGTTGACTAAGCCTAAGCACATAAAGTTAAAATTAATAAAGTTTCGATATGAAGCACTTAATGGCCTCGAAAACTATTGGTCCATCCGTCTATGATGTAAGAAAACACAGCACCACAACTTAGAGACACGAAAGTAGTAGCATGCACCAAGAAAGATAAATAAAATAAAAGGTTCACGACTGGTTGGTAACAAATGAATCACGACAGACATCATTTTGTATGAGAAGAAAGCACCAAAGCAAATTTATTTGAGTCTTACTTATCATTCATGAACTTCCAAAATATTGGACCATCATTTATCTTTTTGTCCTTGACTCCATGCAAGTCATATTTTAACAATTTGGTACATTGCCTGAAAATTCTCTTTAGTTAATTAAAAGGTAACCCACGATGATCAACCTAATATTCCCTGCCTATTTTAAAAACTTGACCTTCAAGCCTTTATAGAAAGGTTTTCTTTATCTAAGTTTTAACGAATATAAACTAATACTCTGTAATTATTTAAGCCTATATACGATATCTTTTCAATCTGTAACTCTAGTTATCACATTTTTCTTCCTAAAGACTCGAGAGTGATATAAATTAAGCCTACTAATTCATACTCTTTCAGTTATTATTTGGCATTTCTTTTATCTAACCATTCTTCTTTTCGATATTTTACACCAATATATAACCATTTCTTATAATTCTAGTATAAAATTTATCCTAAGTTGCTTCTCTTTATCACTATCCTAGTCGTGAGAAGCCAAGTTTTACAGGATAGGGATTGATATAAGAATATGTACCGCAGAGCATTGTCTCACCGTTCACCAAACATGTGGTTAAGAATTTAGAAGCCAACTATTCAGTCTACCAAAGGTTACAGAATGATCTCTCCTTGTTCCACTTTTACATGGTTGTTTGATGTTTGCTTCATTTAGTGGGGTTTTTAAAACAACTTTCTTTGAGACAAAGATCGTCGGAAAAGTTTTTCCATATTAGTAGTATACTCTAACCTTCAATTAATGTCGATAAATGGTATATATATCATCCTGAAATAGAGAATATCGTTTATTTGTCTGTCTTTATTATTGTTATGGTGGAACTCATCTTACATATTGGATTTTCTAAAACCAAATTCACAAAAGAGTTAGTTATAAGAGCATGCATATGCAGAAATACCGAATAGACCAAAGCAAGAAGCCCAAAAAATTAAGCTCACAGCCATGGAAATTGTAGTAGATCAAAGACAAGAACCGAGACCCAAGCACTCAAGCAGAAAGACTACGCAATCACCGAAAAGTAAAGCTATGGAAAAGAAAGTGAGACAAACGTAAGAAGAGAAAATAAAAAAATCGAAGGCTATTAAAGGTTGCAGATGGCTGTTCTTCAGGAAAGGAGAAGAATAAAAGCAAAATAAGATTCATACAGTGAAATCCAATAAAACAAAATAAAGAAGAAATAAGAGGAACAAACCTCCTGCAAAAATGTTCCATTCTCAGAAACTCTCCGGAATACTCTGCTATCTTTGAGTGAAGATCAGTTAGAAAAGTGATGAGAATAGGGAAAGCAATGTATTGGACAGGGAAGAAGAGAATGGAGACTGAAAGAGTTCGAACCACGTGTTTTTCATCTGAAGCAATAGGAAGGTAAATGAAACTTCTCAACAGACAGCTGGTTTGCTGGAAAAAAAGCTGTACTACACGTGTTGATAGGATTAGAGAAAAACAGTAAACTGCCAATAAAATAGGCCCGAGTGCATAGTACAAGTTGGAAATGCAGTGTTCGTCCTTCTTGAACATTTATATATAGTAGTAATTTATTTGTTTATTTATTTATTCATTCTGGACTTCTGGTTTGGGGTGGGGTGGGAAGTAAAATTATCTCTTTACCCTATGTGACTAGCTGCTAGGTTACTACAGGAGGAGCGGTCTATTCAAAGAAGGAAATGTAAGCAAGAGAATGCCCTTTTAGTTCCTTAGATTAACTATATCGTTTCTTTCATCGTTATGAAGCTCAGGGTCTATTTAAAAAGCGGTCCAAGTCTATCGAGCTTTAAAGTGTGGGCCAGTGTTGTGAAGAGCGTGAGCGAGGAAAAGCGACAAGCCCCTTTTCGCTTAAAGCGAGAAGCGAGAAGCGAAGTGCTCGCTTTTTTGAAGTGAAGCGGAATTTAAAAAAAAAAAAAAAAATAAAAAAAATACTGCATAGGCAATAATGGCAGTAGCTAAAACGAAAAAATTTGGCAGCATTTCGCTGCAATTTAAGACTCAAAAACAGTAAACGAAAAAGAAGAAAAGAAGAAGAGGATGAGAAAAGAAGAATTGAAGGGAAAAGAAAAAAATTGCCAGCGAATGCAATTTTGAGACTGAAACAGTGAAAGAAGAAGAAGAACTTGAAATCACATACCTGGGCTTGCTCTTGATGAACTTGAAGTTGAAAAGTGCAGAAAATGGGAATCCTAGTTGCCTGTTGTTCTCTGCTGCTCGATGGTCTTTTAAAAAAAAGAGAGCTTTTCTAACTTTTAATGCTGGCAGCCGTAATATGTAGAAGCGCTCGCTTCCGTCGCTTCTAATGCTTCTAACGCTTCTCGCTTTTTTTGCGAAGCGCTCGCTTTACTCAACCTGCTACGCTTCACATCACAGAAGCACCCGAGGTAACGCTTTGCTTCGCTTCACGCTTTAAGCGCTGAAGCTAGCGCTTTTCACAACACTGGTGTGGGCTTTAGTTAAAAAAAGCGCAACAAAGAAAAAATAAAAATGTATATGTAATGCAAAGAAAAGTGACAATTTAATTCATAATGATCTCCTCAACAATTAATATATCTTTTTGCCAATCATATTTATTGTTTTGTACACCGCTTTATTCAAGATAGAACTTATAGGCAATGAGGTGCAGGCCTTAGTGTCTTGCCTACATTGAAGCGCAGCGTAAGTGAGGCGAAGCGCAGCCTAAGTGAGGCGAAGCGCATACCCTGATCTTTTCTGAGCTTCAGGGATTAAGCCCGCCTCAAATGAGAGTATGAAAATACATATTCTCGACCTTTTGGCTTAGATCAAGTTAGTATGTATGAAATGACGAGTCACTTTCTCCCGCTTTGTGCCTGTGTGTCTGTGTTAGAATATGTCCTGCACAGTAGGTGTCTGTGTTAGAATATGTCCTGCCCGCCCTACTGTGCAGGATAGGAGAGAAGGAAATTATCAGAGAATGTTTAAGTTGTGAGGGAGAGTCTGGTTATCTAACGTGAAGAAGATGAAGTAGATGTAAGATTTAAAACAGGCTTCTGTCAAGTTCTGCAAAAAAGGGAATCTAAGTTTAACTTTGTGCCTAGGTGTCAAATGATGATTTACTCTTTGCATTTATGTACCTATTTTAGCCTCATTTTAGTAGCCAGTTTCGGAAGTTACTGCATTTTGGAAATAAGGAGATGAATGGATATCTGCGAGCATGAGGTTTACTTATATATATTGTCCAGTCTCGAACCTTGAAGTGCAGTGTTTCATGATGATGTCTTTGTGAGATGTGCTACCAATTGTTTACCTAATTTAGACTTACGGTTCCTTGTATTTTGCTCTGTTAATCTCTGGGGTGCAGGAGGGCTTAGCAAAGGGGAAGTAGAAGAAAAAATAAATCCATTTTCGGGTCTCCCTGATTTGCTTTAGGGATGTCCTTCCGCTAATTGTTTGGCACATACAAATGACATGCTTTTTGGATATGTTTTTACAGGCAGGCCCAATTGGTACAAAACTGCTGGCATTGAAGTTTCTCGAAACGTATATTTTACTTTTCACACCGGATACAAATGATTCTGAAAAGTATGTAGCACAAGGTAAATTTTTACAGAACATCAAGGATGGGAAGATTTATCATGATTCGCTATTATTAAATGTAGCTTATCAGCAAAGAATCACTAGGATAGTTTTATTCCTTTATCCGTTTTCCATGTTTTCTGTTTGCTGATTCTGATATTTGTTTGTGCTTTTAATGCGTCATTTATTTATGCCTGCAGCTAAGCATGGATGGAGTTTTAATATTTCATGGGTAGTTGGTCATCACCCTGTTCTTGATCCGGCTGTTCTTACATCAGATGCCAAAAATACTGTTGGCACTCTATTGGATTTATTGCGCTCAGCTAGTTCTCTTCCTGGTTTACTAACTATTTCTGTAATTAATAGGTGAGCTTTTATCTGTTTTACTCAAAAACTTGTATTATTTATTCGGTAAGTGCTATGCTTGATCTCCAGGGATGATTCGAAATTCATCTATTCTAGTTGAAAGATTTCTGTGTGTTGTTCATTCTTTTCTGTATGAGAGGAGTCCTATTTGTGAATGGATAGAGGTTGAGAAAATAGACTTGAAGAAGTTAGTGTTAGTTCAAGGTTAGGAAATTGCATGAGTTGCAGTTTCAGATTGAGGGCTGTCAATACCGAGATCGGCTGATAAGTTTCTAGTTAGGGTGGGTTTGTTGGTGCCATTATTGGTGATGCTGATCACCTAGGGTACATTCACTAGGAGCTTTGAATTCCTTTACGTCATACATAAGCCACATTTTTCTTCTGTAGAATATAAGGAGCACATATGAACAAGATCTGTGTTGTGAGTGTGCTTCTCATGTTGAAGTTATATATGTGGAGCCGTGGAGGTCTTTTAAGACTATGTGGATTTTCTGCGTCAATGCCTGTAAGGACTTTGGGCCACAGTGTTAAGTGGGTAATGCCTAACAGTGTTAAGAGCTTGTTGGAACAATGGCATCATCAGAAAATGGCAAAAAGGAACAAACAGTATGGAGGACAATTCTTTTGTGTTTTATGGACAATATGGCTGGAAAGAAATAGTGTTTGTTTTGAGGGGAGATGACAACATGTTTTCAGAATTAAGAATAGCTGTCTTTTGAACTTGTATTTTTGGTGTAATACAAGTACTATTGAAACTATGGAGCAATACTTGGACTTTTTAGAAGAGATAGGAGATTTGTAGTTGCCATGTAAGTGGCTTCGGCAGATGCTGGACTGATGTAACTTGTACCATCTTGGTACCTTCTTAATAAGATCTGACCTTATAAAAAACAAGGACTTAGGGCCACAGCTACTTAGAAAACTACATTCTGCTAAGTTGTGATTTTTCTGCAATGTGATATGCTCTTCTAGGATATATTAATAAATTGTTTTGCAGATTATGACTGAACTCAATAAAAAAATACAATCCCGCCACTATTAACTGCTAGAAAGATCTCTCCCTGTCTGTTTCTTTTTCTTTTTGGAACGAATTTCTTCTATGTTTTTCAGAAATGTAGTAGATAGGTTTTGACAACAAATTGGTGTGGCATCAATGAAATGATCTTTGAGTTATCATGAAAAAACATGCTTTGAAAGAATAAACTGCTTAAGAGCAAGGTATGTATTATGTAATGAAGATAATTGAGTTATTATCTTTCTGCTTAGGGAAAGCCAATCTTTCTGGTATTTGTTAAATCACTATAAGCAAAGGAGTACCTTTGCTCAGCTTCTCTATCCTCTTTATTTTTTTGGTGTTGAAATGTGTGAAATATATTGTACTTAAAGGTGATATGCAAAAGTCATGCTTCGAGCTAGGTACTAACATTTAAGTGCTCTATCTGTGATTCTGCAACTGTAAAATTGTTACGGTAAAAAACTTCAAGTATGGAAGCAAATCAAAAGAGAACAAACTTTTATGGACGCAAGTGCTTATTATCATAAGGAGGCAGATTTAACATTCAAATCAGATAATACGTCTTAACCCACCTCTGTAAATATAATGCTGTTGTATTCTGAAAGAAATGAGCTGAGGGAGAGAAAAAGTTCTCTACCAGCAAAGTAAGAATGCGTCCTGGTACATCCAACAGTGTGATCAATGTGTCGCTGTTTTGCACCTATTTAATGTTTTAGGACCTCTGCACATAACATTAAAAGAAGAGATGGAAATAACAAACTTCTCTAACTGGTTGTGCAAGCATGCAATCAAGTTGAAATTGAAGTGTAGGGTCGGTGTTTAAGTAATTGTCTAGAATGGTGTTGTTTGGAGTTAATTAAATCTTATTACTTTATAAAAAAATGATTATGCTTATGTAGAGTTTTCTTCTAAGAAGTGAAAACATATGGGCTGTTATTTTTCCTTTTGAATTCTTTTTATCCTAAAGGTACGTGTGCCCCCGTACTAAAAATGTTTTTTTTTGGGGTTTCAGATGAGATGGTAAAACCAATTCAAATGTTTTTTTTGTTCTTTATATTGTGTATGTTAAGTTAGAGTATCTTTTCAAGTCAAATACATTTGGCAACAGGACCTGTGTATGTTTTGACAGATGGTTTCACATTGGTGTAAGACATCAGGATTCTTATTTATCTCTATGTGATGGGGCTAGACGAACTTACTCTGGTTCCTGTACTTTTGTCTCTGTCTTTCTTGATTTCTTTCTAGACATGAAGTGTCATTTTAATGTAAAATTCCTTTCGAGTAAAGATAAAAGGATACATGACAGATCTAAACTACAGGAGTGGAAATAAACAAGAAATTTGTTTGTTTTTCTGATTTCGTGATACTAAAGTGTACAAATTTCCGATAACGTGGTGTCTGTGTCAGCTAGCACACCTTCACTAATTTACAGGCACCTGTTACCTCCCACCGGTACAAGTACATGGTAAATCTGTCCACCAAGGCATTGACAAATGGGAACCTACGTAAAATGTACATTAAATACCATGTTGCTCCCTCTCTCTTAAAGAAATCATATGACTTCCCATTTTGTCTTTCTTAAAATTGTCACTTCAGTCTTCCCTAGGAATCTTATTCCTCACTATTCACTTTATACTGCTGTTACTTTATTAAAGTATATCACTATAAATGTCACATGTCTTCTTTAAAGATCTCAATAACCTTCAAGAGGCTAACTTTTAGCTCTATTTTAATGTCACCTTTTTCTTAACGTATTAATTAATTTCAACTCTACTCTTATTACCCGTGTCAAGTCAAACTAAGACTAAGTCTGGTAAAGCGGGAGCATGCTCTGGGGTTACTGGCTGCTTTCATCAACAAGACAAGTTGTTTCTTATGCCTATTTTAAAATGACTTGAGATGACATTTACTTCTGTATGGAAGCAACTATAATGTGACAATTAGTTTTGACTTGCTGTTGGTATTATTATGGTAGTTGATAAAGTTTTGTTTCTTTTCCCGGTGTAAATGGCAACATGCCGCTGATCTTTGCCGAAAGTTTTTGTTACATTTGCCAGAAAGATCTAATCTGAAGATCCCTTGTCGTACCTCTCAGTAGATTCCATGTTGCCCCAGCTAGATAAAACTACTTGCTGCCCTTGCTTCTGAAATCTGAACTCCAAAATTTTTTGTGGTGATTTCTGTTTTGTTTATTATTTTGAATTTATGGAGAGATGACAGATGCTTGGTAATGGCTGTAGTTCAGGTTCAACTGCTTATTTTTGCTGTTATTGCAGCATGAGCCCAGCTTTTTAACGTGGAGTTAAAATGGCATTTTGCTTGGAATGCTGAACTGATGGTTCAGATAACTGATCTAAAAGTTAGCTGATTTCCACAAGATTGACAGATGGTAGGGCAGATTAAGCGGTGGATAAATTGGTCACATCATTTGCAATAAGAACTCTTTGGACAAGCTATTAACCAAGCATTGTACTTTTTCGGAGACAACATTAAAGTTTAGCAAATTTTGATCTCTTTAATTGTACATAATCGTTACCTTGTAGTGTCTGAGACAAGTATTGGTTGATAATGTATTGCTATGTTTTGTAACATTGACACACTTCTTATTACCCAGATAATCAAATTTTTCGACAGGGTTTTCTCCCTGGATAAACCTTCTGTTGTCACTTCTGTTTTTTTCTTTTTTGCTGCTGTTACATTGTCAAGTTTACTGTATGACATGCCGTATTTCACATTACTTTTGAACTTATAAATTGGTGATACTGTACTTAGACCTTTTCTATAGGTAATTGTGAATCTGTGAAGTTTTCCTAAATAAAAAATCCCTTGAGGAACTCCTGTTATGGTGCCACTAAAATTTCTGTGGTATGAACACTTTTTTCTTCATCTTGTCAACATTTTAAATTCCTCCCAAGTGTGGACAGTGTCGTACCGCGAATCCTGTAAATGTGAATTGACTCTTTGCATTATTTCAAGCAATAATACATCGTTATCAATTGTAATAAGCAAAGAATACATTAAAAATTTGCTACTTAATGGCATTTTGAAAGCAGAAACAGATAAAATGCCACACTGGTTTTTGAATGACAAAATCTATAGACTCTGGGAAAGACTGCATGTAGATTGTTATGTTGTGTTGGAAATTTCCCTGCTTTTATGAGCACTTCTTTATCTTGTTTAGAGTGTCTTGGTTCGATATGACTGAAAAGGAATGTGATCCAAGTTTTGCAGGGCATGTCTTTCCTTTAGGAGGAACACATATGTTGTCAATTGCAGGATATTATGTTCTGTTCTCCTTTTCCCGGGAATGACAAATTCTGATATATTGTGATGTTAAACGAGTTTAAAGCTCTCTCTTGTCAAGCAGAATGTTTTAGTTGCTTTGGAAGATGAAATCAGTGGACTTCCATTTTAGTTGGATAACAGGGCAGCACAGTATTGCCTTAGCATCTCCTTGACACCAAGTAACGAGTAGCTTCATGTAACATATTTAAATGATGAAACTAATGGCCCTCATTGTGGCAAAACATTAGATTAGAAAAGAAATTGAGGATGACATATTCTTTTGATAAAGTAATAAATTTCACTAAAACAGGGCAAAAACGCCCCCGTATACATGATGTAATTGAGGATGATTAACTCGAGCTTATTGTGGTTATTTGATAAGGCAACAGTTTACTAATTCTAAGAAGTTGTCGTCATTATACTTTCAAATGAAAAGAGATACTCAGAATCATGCCTTAATATATTGAAGTTTGAGCTAGTTGACCGAGCATATGAAACTTGATGTCTGAAGTATGGAACAAGATCTTGTTAAGTTGTTCCAGGAAAATACTCCAGATAATTGTGCTTCTAGACGCTTAGCATTATGTGGAAAACATTTCAAAAATGTCGCATGGTTGTACATGGATTAATTTCTGTGTTTTTCATCTTTTATTATGGTTTTGCTGGCTACTTGCCATTTGGAAGTGTCATGTATTATAGAAGTTGCATAAACATTGTTTTAACACTTGACTACTGTGTTTACTTGAATACATATATTCTTAATTATGATGGTGGTGTCTAAGCCAACCTGAGCCCACTTGTGGTAATCCAGATAGGATAAGGTAGGGTCAGCCGAGTCTGGATCTAGTGGGGTTGAAATATATCCTCCGAGCTGTTTGCTACAGTTCGCAAGTTTAGATGCTACATAATCCTGCCTGCCTAGATTGGAGCAGATGGTCTTACACTGAGTGTTGTAGTTGGGTTAGGACCTGATAATCTTATTTTGCTGAGGACACTGTATTACCATGTATTATAACAACTGATTAGGTATATGTGTGTGCACACATAATAAATATATATGTATTATGTGTGTGTGTGCGCGCACACATAATAAACAGATATGTGTGTATGTGTGTTTTTGTATGTGGTATGTTTATATGATGTATGTATGTATACACGTTGGACCTCCAGTTCCCTGTTTTACCTTTTGAGCTAATTTACTATGAAATTAATGTTGGAAGAAAATTGAATAAATAACTTTGTCAAGTATCAACCTAGAATTCCAACAACTTTCACTTCATGGACTGCTTTCATTATTGCATATAGATTGTCTTGGGTGGGGATATGAGTTTGTTAATTGCGTGCTTTATATCTTTTTAAGAGAGGGTAATAAGTGCTAATCTTGTGAAAATATCTTGCATCAAGAAACAATGCTTGTAAACGCAAAAGCAAAAACATGCGAAATTTCTTTGAGCTAAAGATTGATGAACATTCTCAGTACGATGTGCCTCGGTGAGTAAAATATTGATCGTGCCATTAGCTCCTGATTGTTAATAGAAGAGTTAGACGAAATTCTTATGGAGTTTAGCTTCATGTTTCTCCATGTTCAAGTATCGTTGGACACTTTAATTTTTATTGCAATATTAGTTTGGTTTCGTTACACCTGATTGTAGTGTATGGATCTTGCGTAGCAAAGCAATAACTGAATGATTCCCACCTGCAATTAGGGTAGTGAAAATAGTGACATGATTTAGTCTAGTTGCCAACAATGGTCAGTGTATATTCTGATGCCGTTGGCAGTAGTGACTAGAGAGCCAAAGTTTGGTTTTGGTATGCCTGGTTGAAGTGAAAATAGTGACATGATTTACAGATTTAGTCTAGTTGCCAACAATGGTCAGTGTATATTCTGATGCCGTTGGCAGTAGTGACTAGTGAACCAAAGTTTGGTTTTGGTATGCCTGGTTGAAACCAAGCTTTACTTGGGATTCATATAGCCGACCCCAATTTGTTTGGGACTGATGCGTAGTTGTTGTTCGTGGTCATTGGATGTTACTTGACCCATTGTGGTGGCAGATATTGTAGAGGGGCCAGCTTGCTGTATAACATCTGAAGATGTGGAAGTTCTGCTATCATCTTTTTTAGCAGCTGGGTTTGTTCTTAAAGTCTAGTGATTCCATAGATAAATATAGTGATTGAAAAGGGAAGCCCGGTGCACACAACATCCCGCATCACGCAGGGTCCCGGGAAGGGTCGTACCCCAAAGGTTGTGATGTAGATAAATATAGTGAACGTGCTTGTTAAAAAATAGATAAATATAGTGGTTATTATTCAGTATAGATCTGTTAAAACGAGGATGGTGTTTATGTTCCTAGTAAATAATGTAACCTCACTGTAGAGGTATGCATATTGATGTTCCTTAGTGTGTAATGGTTAGTGTGTAATGCTATAATAAGCATGCGATTTGTCCTAGTCTTGATTTTGTAATAGAGTATGGTGGACGCATTTTTATCGTAGTACGATGTGCGCAATGTAAAGATCTTATTATTGTCCTTAACATCTTCTCCCTCAACTCAACACTCTTGCTGTGTAGTTGGTTTCTAAGGCATTCGGGAATAAGTTAAAAAAACATTTCCTCATAATATCAAACACGTATTCATGCTTCTACTTGGTGTTTCTTTTGATGCTTATGTGCTGAAATGTGTCAAAAGCTGTAAATTACATGAATAGCAAAACCATGATGTGGTTAGCCTTTCAAAATGGTCAGATAGCAGTAATTCATGCTTCAACTTGTGTAAAAAAATTCTCTTTGATGGAATTTGCTTGTCTCAAGAAGATATGGACATGGAATGCACAGGTAGTTTTTGGTTGGAAAAAAATGTGCGTGCTATTAGAAGGATAAAAAAGAAGAGAGTACAGCTTACACAAGTGTATCCCAAGCTAAGAAACTATTCTTTCTATTCATTGAAAAATATGTTGACTAATCTTCCAAGCTATAGCTATGTCTCAGTTTCTCTTTTGCCTATACTTCCATCCTCCCATAATGCCTCTTTAACAGATTCAAGGACTTCCGTAACTAGAGTTATTACTGTTAACTTTGGATTGAAATCTTCTGCAATTTTTCTCCATCCAAATTTAGTATACAGCAACAGATGGCATCAGGTAGAGCAGTAAGCTGTTTTTTTTGAGATCGAACATTATCAACGTGACACTGGAGATGATAAAGAGTTGAATATGAACATGTATGCTGGCCTGAGGATACTTTATCTCAGAAATGATACTTTGCTGCAACAGGACTAGTAGAAGGGCTTATCTGTGCTTGTTTCTGGGTTGAGATAGCACTTAAAGTGTCTTTCGGCTGGTAGCCTGGTACATTTAAGCTGTGTAATTTATGGGCTACTTTGCCTGCTGCTTATGAGAGACCACTGTGGTGCATTAGTTAGTTTTGTGAGAAAAGGTGGACGAGTGGAATAGATTTGGTAGCTCTGTATGTCAGAATAGTATTTTAACTGTGGTAGATTATTGAGGTGAAGCTGTTACCTTATGTTTCATACTGTCACTTCTGTTTTTTTGTTTCCTTTTCTTTTTCCTTCCCCCCTTGAATTCGTGTTTGTATTTAATCATTTCTTTTATTTCATCTTGAACTTGTACAATTTTTTGTTTTGCTTTATGCTTGATCTGATAACCTGAAAATTGTTTCCAGTTTGGCAGTTATAGCAAGGAGGCGACCTATCCATTATAACCACATTTTTTCACCATTGCTTGATTTCGATCCAAACTTTGAGATGACAAAGGGTGGACATGCTGCCAGCATTCGGTATTCTCTGAGAACTGCCTTTCTAGGATTTTTGAGGTGTACACATCCTGCCATTTTGGAGGTATACTTGACATGTCATATCAGAGCCTCCTAGTTCGTTATCTATGCATCTCTCTGTCTTCCAATTTCTGTCTTTTTTTCAGTGTGTCCATTGCTGCAGCCTTCTTTTCAACTTTTTTTTTTTGGTTATTAAACAAAAGTGTTTCTTTTTATGCTGTGACTGAATTAAACATTGATAGGGAGAATGAGCTGTAGTTCATTTATAGGCTGTTGAACGATGCTCACTTTATGAACTAGCTTTTGTGGTTGAGTTAGGCTCAAGGTCCATTTTCTTAACATGGTATCAGAGCCAGACCTGTCCCTATTCTTTGGTTATCCAATGTTGGGACTTGGGCCCTCATGTTAAATTATCCACTTTCCAGTTGTCCGAACCTGGACACGCAGAGAGTGTTAGAATATTCCACATTGATTGAGGGTATATGTTGTAGTCTCCTAATATGTTCTTGTGCAATACTTACCTCATCAACTAGCTTTTTGGGGTTGAATTAGGGTCAAGGTTGTCCATTTCTGTAACAAGAATCTTTTTCTTCTGGCTCTTTTTGTTTTTAGGGGATAAAGTCAAATATTTCATTCATCGGCATCAAGAGGATGCATAAAGTGCAAAAAGGAAATTAGCTCCTCTAATAAACTTCAAGGAACAAAGAAAATCAATTTCTCATAAATATAATGTTTCCTTCTCAATATTGTATTGACTTTGGTCTGAGGATCTTACAGTTTGAAACAATTTAGGAAATTCCTTCTTTAGGGTGCTGTTCTTTTGGTGCCCGTCACAAAGAGTTTGAAATTCTAAACCTTCCTTTATGTTCAACCTCTGAACAGCATGATTCTCAATTTTACCAGTGCACTGAAACCAATTCAAGTTTTGGACCTCGCCCTGTTCCATATTCCAATTTATAAGTTGTGGACCTCATTATGTTCCACAATCTGCTATCTATGACCTTTATTTCTGTTGCCGCTTGCTCTCTGATTAGATTAAATGTCATTTCTATTTTCCATGCTGCAAAGCATGTGTATGCTGAACGGGACTTCTATGTCTCTCTCTCTCTCTCTCTCTCTCTCTCTTTATTGTATCTGTATGTGTAAACATAATGTTTTTTTAGTATGTTACACTTTAAACTGGATTTATACTCCTGATGTTTTGAAAATCCATTTTAATCTGTGACCATATTTCTAGATTCTACCCTCTGTAAGATTTAATGTATGATCCTAACAATGTGTCAACTTCGATCAGAATGTTCAATTTTAAACTAGACTGTGAGATAATGTACTGATGTTATTGAGTACTCTTACGTAGTATTTTTTTTTGATAATGATGAGCCCTCTTACATATACTCATTCTTGATTCTTGTAATAGAAAACTATAAATCAAAAGGTATTTTCTTTTCCTTAAACTTCAGCTGAGGGTGGTTATTTCACTTACACTTGGGCAGAGCCATACATACATGAAGTTTAAAGAAGCAATAAGAGTACTAACATTGAACACGGTTTGATTTGCTGTGATGAGTAATGCAAGACAAAGTTGCATAGCTTCAAAAAGATTTTTGTGTTCTATACTGTAAGATGCATGATAAGTGCTATCGGTATCTTTTAACTCTAGCACTAGAGAGAGTTATTACTGATATTCTTTAAATCTAAATTGAAACGACTATCTAAGTGAGTGTGTTTTTGAATTTAGTCGAGAGAAAGATTGTTAAAATCATTGCGAGCAATGAATGCTGGTGATGCTGCTGATCAAGTTCTTCGGCAACTCGATAAAATGATGAGAAATAATGAGCGAGCCTCACGTGATTCTAGATTGATCAAGGTAATTCCCTCAGTAACGGAGTCAGTTTTATTTGTTACTGAAGAACAAAGCATCAGTACTTCAAGTTATGAAATATTTTTTTCAGAAGCGGTTCTCAGAACTTTTTACTTTCTCTTTCAGGATGAGCAGTCATCAAACCACTTGCCCGTTTTAGGTGATCCAACAAAGAAGAGGTCGACTCCATTAGATAAGGAAGATCCATCTAATAACTATGATTCAACTTCAAAAAGGGTTCACTATGGCCCTAACAATCACATAGCTCCACCAGTTGAGAGAAATGATTCTGGAAAGGAATATGTCAACGGGGTGAACCCAATGGTTGAACAAATAATTGGCATGATTGGTGCTTTGCTTGCAGAAGGAGAAAGGGGTGCCACGTCTCTTGAAGTTCTAATATCCGAGCTTCCTCCTGATTTGTTGGCTGATATAGTCATAACTAATATGAAGCACTTGCCTAAAAATCCCCCACCTTTAGCACGACTTGGAAGCTTGTCATTATCTCGGTCAAGTGATTCTAGTAATCTATCCCAGGTTATGGCACCAATAGATTCCTCATTAGCCACACAGGCTTGGGTTCCTGGATCCCAGACACCCACCTCTTTATCAACTGCCACTAGCACTTCATTATTAGAAATGTCTGCTTCCACAAGTCTCCCTTCAGATTCGAAACGTGATCCTAGGAGGGTGAGTAAAACTAAATTATTTTAATTATTTGCTCTGCTGTTTGTACTCCATTTCTCTTACTAGGACAATCTAGTAATACATCATGATGTTTCACAGGATCCACGGCGCCTTGACCCAAGGCGTGCAGCTGTGGCTGTTGAAATATCATCAACTCTCGTTGCAGAAGATAATACAAGTGCTATGCAATCTCCAATGCTGCAATCTGAAATGAATCCTTCTAGTTCATCTAATATTGACATTGCAGTACCCCTGGTGTCAAATTCTGAATGTATGCCGACTGTGTATCCCAAGATGGAAACTAACTCTATCACTGCTGAAAGTTCACCGACACCAGGAGCCAGTCTGTCAGCTCCCAAGGAGGAAGTTCATGATGATGACCTAAATGAAGCTATTCCTGATGACAAGATGGATGCTGCGATACATGTTCCACTATCATCTCCTGGCAAAGTAGAACAGGAATTGGTGCCAGAAGTTCCATCTGAAGTTGGAGTGACAGATGAAATTTACTCTCCATTGCTAGAAACAGATCAATTTTCTCCCCCTATTTCAACTGCTGCAACCCCTGAAGATGCATGTGCGGAGTTGCCTGAGCTTCCGCCTTTCATTGAGCTGACCCATGAACAGCAAAGAAATATGGGAAAACTGGTTGTTGAACAGATTATTGACTCGTTCAAAAAATTAAAAGAGACAGACAACAAGCATACAGGAATGGCATTACTTTCTCGGTTGGTTGCCCAGGTGGGGGTCAGATTTTTAGATTTTAGTTATTTGTTTTTGGTTTTATCATGGGGCTACATTTGTTTCATTAAGTTACGAGATACTGGTTTATAAAAATTTAGATTTGAGCGATAATTTAACCATTCTGTCTCGGCTGCTGTAATATAATATTTTTGGAGGGAAAGCAAACTATTCAATTGAATAAAGTGCAGTTTACCACTGAATCATTGTTGTACACTTCTTCTCTGAGACTCATTTGTTTCATACCTCTGTTGGTATACCACTTCATCTCCTTGAAATACTATTAGGTTCCTCCAGCATCATATAATAATCATGTGCAGGGAGACACTTGAGTTGTTTTTAAGAAATGTCTATATAACTCGGGGTAGTTTCGTCTTTCCCTTTCTAGTTTGGTGTTGAAAGCTATGTAGCGCAGACTCTCCAAAATGCTGTCACACCAGTGTCGGATCCTCCAAAAATGCACTACCTTTGGAGGACCCGGCACGCGCCCGGCGACATTTTTGGAGAGTCTGAGCAACATAGGTTGAAAGTCACTTGTGAAAGAGACCTCCTACCTGTTGGACCAACTCATCTTTTAGATATGATAAGAGTTTCAGCACAACTCCTAGTGTCTTCTCTTGCATGCTAAGTTAGATATGACAAACTAATTTAGCAGGAGGAACTTAATAAGATCTAGGAAGAGCATTTGCTGGGCAAATGATTGCTTTTGTAAAATTCCTTAATCCATTTTGGAACTGGGGCTGGTCGGGATTATGGTTGATAGTACAATGGAAGTGGTGAAAATCGGTATCCAATTCAGGATCCTTTTGTTTCTAGAGCAGTTTGTGTACTTGTTTGTTGTGTAGTCCAGTATTGTTCTGAATTCAACAGGGTGCTAACTAAAGCTACATAACTGTATTTTCAAAGTGAATCAGTAAATAAGTTGATGCTTCATTAATAAGTTACCCTTGAATATACTTTTCGAGTATTGTGCTTGTAGAATTATGATTGATATGTTGACATAGATAACAAACATGGTCAGACTTAGGCCTCATTTGTTTTTGTTAAGATTAAGATGTCTGAATCTGGATACACGTCTGAATATCAAGATGTGTATTAAGATCTGAATAGAAATAATTAAGACTATTTGATTTTTAAGATCTGAATGTATAAAATTTATCTTTATTTGAAAATTAATAAACATAAAATTCAAATGAAATACTAACTAATCTAATATTCTATCAATAAAATATATAGTTTTTTAAAATATGATAGTTGGTGGCAGTGATGGCTAACGGGTGAATGCCAACTAGAGGCGGTGGTTGGTGGTAGTTTTGGTTGATGATGGTGGTTCATGCTAGTAGCTAGTAGTGATTGGTAGTGGTGGCGATTATGATTGAGGATGATGGTGGTGGGTGGTTATAGTTAATAATGGCGGGTGGTGATAGTAGTTTGACTGAGGAGGGTGGTGGTAGGTTATAAAGATGGGCAGTGCCGACTGTGGTTGTTGATGGTGATGGGGTGGTCAGTTGTGGTAGATGAGGTGGATGAGTGTTGATTGTGGGTGAGAATGATAGTGGTCGGAGTGATGGGGATAGTAGGTGGTGATGGTCGATAATGGTGGCGGCTATGATTGAGGATGATGGTGGCGTGGTGGTGGAGGAGGTGGTGGCGGGGGTGGTGGCGGCGGCATGGTGGTAGTTGATAATGGTAGGCGGTAGCGGCAGTTAATAATGAATATGTGATAACATCTTAATGAAATTAAGTCTCTGTTATAGATCTTAATCACACAGACCTATTCAGACCCATTAAGTGGTTGTGAAGTAAAAAAAACAAACACACTTAATGATTAAGATCCGAATAATTAAGATTCGGACTTTAAAAACAAACGCACTTAATGTCAGAGATCTGAATGATTAAGATTCAGACCTCCATTAAGTGCAAACAAATGAGGCTTTAAACCCACCCAAAATATCTGACATGTGAAAAGTAATTTAGGCAGGTCTCAGTTAGATGGATTTATGAAGTCAAAGTTAAAGAAAAACTTTAGCTAAGCTGATGCATGGTTTGAGTGCTGTTGGGATATTAACTTGAACAATGGAGATATTTTGAGAAATACTTTGTGTGCCTCTATGTCTCTTATATAATTCTTTGGCGGACCTCCCTAAATTCAAGTTTGAATCGACAATAATTGCGGGTTGCTTCATACAGCTACTAATAGGTTCTGCAGTCATGACAAGTTTCTTTTTTTGTGTTGGAAAGGCGGATTGGTGCTGAGTATTCTAGACAAATTATGAGAATAAATTGTTAAAACTGTACACTGATGGGATAATCTGTAATCACTCATTTTCTGGAATAACACCTTGACAGTGATGGTTCTAGGCTTGTCAGGTCCATTTTTGGGAATGGATCCTGGGTTTGGGTCCACAGTATTGGCTTCATAGCCTGTTTGGCCAAGCTTTTAGGAAACTAAAAATGCTTATATTGGAGAGTTGAGGTGTTTGGCCAAGCTTCTGGGAAAAAATTAGTCTTTCGAGTAAAAGCTATGAGTGCAGCACATGATGTGTGGTTTAGGCGCTGGTCACGAGTTTGAACCCAGCCACAGACAAGCATGTTATTAAGTGGAGAAGGGTAGAGGGGTGAGCTCATTATCCATCAAGTTCGAACCGTGCCCGCTCGCCCTCGACGATCTCGATTTTAGGAAAAAGCTGCTTTTATGCTGTGCAGAAGATGCTGGAACAAGAGCATCTTCCTAGAAGCAGAAGCTGTTTGCCTGTTTCTATTCTTTTGGAGAGAAAAATATCTTGCCAAAAAATGTATACTTATCAAACTATCTCAAGAGTATAAAGAAAATTTAACCTCAGGCATTGTTGACACGACATCTATACCTCACGTCTCATAAACATGCTTCCTCTCTCTATTTTTGTGATCTTTATATATTTTAATTAATAAAATTAAAAAGCTTAATTAGAGTCTCTCTTGATAAATATTTCAGATCATTTTTTTTACTAAATAATGCTAATTTTAAAGTGAATCTTTACTAGTCCTTTTTCGTAATTGGACGCGCAAAAGCACTTTTGGAAAGATTAGTCAAAAGCAAACTACTTCCATAATACTAAGAAAAGCAAGCATTTCTCAGATGATTTGACCAAATACAAGCAACTGCTGTCTGAAAGTATTTTCTGAAATTCCATTCTTTTTAAGATAAGCTGATCTTTGAAAGCTCAGCCTAACATGCTAGTATTAGTTTGCAGCAAGATGAAAAGATATAGCAATGCTGATCGAGGTACTAATGAAATAATGAGCTAGCCTAGGACATAAACCAGAAAGATGTAAGGTGAACCCATCATGTTGATAAAGCATCTGGTATGTGCTATCATGGCCAGCTTGCCGTCATACCTAGTCCACTTGCTTTCTTCATTTTAGCAAGAGTTGGTTAACCATATTTGTGTGACTAGAAGTGTAAATATTGGTGCTCCTTTTGTTAAATTTTTTATTTTAATGTGCTTAATTCTGTCTATTAACTGATTTACAATGAATAGGTCAAATACTTAGTGCCATTTTTGTGAATTTGATTCGCTTTAATTGTTTTCGTAGTTTGGCAAACACTAGTCCAAGCATGTGAATAAGCGTTTGCTGCTTGGGATAGTTCAATATTTATTTACCTTTTGCTTTGTTTAACCCTGCAGATTGATGCTGATGCTGATGTAGTTGTGATGATGCGAAGGCTTATTTTCTCAGACAACCAGCACCAGAAGGTATCTACTTTCTCGCTTACTTTCAAACTTACGCTATCTTTATTGCTCAAGTTGTGCGGACAATCAAGTATGATTACTTTCTCTTTTTGTGTCGGTTAGCTTGGTTTTTACTAGGTGTAAAGTGTTTGACTCATATGATTTCAGTTAAGTGAAATCTGCCAGTTTTTACAGCTTGTTTATCTTTGCTGCCACTAAAAATCTTCTCTGAGTGGAGTCTCTCCAAACTGGCATGTAGTTGCTGCAATAGAATTTAAGCAAAGATAAAGAGCTCGTCACTTTTCTCGTTGTTCGGATGAAATTAGTCATAACATCTGCGGTAGCTAAAAACTTCTGATCCCTCAACTACTTCCAACAACCACAATTTTTGCAGCATCTACACAGTGAACAAATCACAAAGACAGACAACTTTCATGTAGTGTACAAAATTTATAAACAGTTTCTAGTGAGCTTTTTGTGGGCCATTTTACTTCAGAAGCTTTGATCTTCCCCTTCTTCTTATCTTGTCACGACCCCCCTTTATTGTTCTGTTTTTCAATTTGGGCAATTTTCTTAATGTTTTGTGCTTGGATTTGACTCCATGTCCAGCAAAAAGGCATATACTGATATGGGTTATTAACCATAAGGTCCTTTTATTGCTTTTGTTCTGCTGTATATCTTTATGCGAATGAGTTTTTGGTGGAAAATGCAGTTGCAAGCTAACTATATGTTATTTTGACCCTCAGGTACATGAGCTTGCAATGCATGTACTTTATCATTTGCACTATCTCATGTTGTCGGATTCAGATGAAAACTCTTCACCTGCTGCTGCGCTATATGAGAAGTTTCTCCTCACTGTGGTAAGTACATTCATTTGCTATCCTTACCTACATCATTCCCGAAGTTCCTTATGTATGTTGTTTGCTTGTAGGCAAAATCATTGCTAGATTCTTTACCAGCAAACGACAAGTCATTTAGTAGGCTCCTTGGTGAAGTTCCATATTTACCTGAATCTATGATGAGACTGCTAGTTGATTTATGCTCTGAAAATTGTCTTGGGCAATATGGCCGTGATGGTGACCGTGTAACTCAGGGCCTTGGTGCAGTTTGGAGTTTAATTTTGGGGCGTCCGCCTAATCGTCAAGCATGCCTGGATATAGCTTTGAAGGTATATGACCATCAAATGTTCTGTCCTGATGATTTTCACTTTCCCTATGCAGTTGCCTAAGGAAATATCGTAAGGGGAATCATAGAGCAACTTTTTTAGGAGTTGAAAGAGTTTTGGAAGAAAGATTTAATAAGCGGGCATTTTAATTGAAGCAAAAGAGCTGCTTTAACGTTACTTGTTTAACGTTTTGTGACCTTAAGTAAAGGTTTGCAATTGGGGAAGTGCTGGTTTCATTCTCAATTATGTTACATGGACTCCAATATGAGTATTGGATTCAAGTATTTATCTATAGGACTATATTCAATCTCTGGCAAGGTCTCTGCCTATATGGAGGATTCAAACAGAATTTCATTTTCATGTGTAATCAGACAAACTTGCCAAGGCAAAACATAGGATTCCAGTAATATTGATTTTTAGCAACAGATGTGTTTGAGCATGAAGGTGGAGCAACGCAAAAATAAGTAATCATTAGCTATAGAGAGATGAAAGCGATATTAAGGGTTTGACTTCTAAAAGTGTTTTGAGGAGATGATTGGGGCACAAATATAGACATATATGGTGGAAGGGTGGCTTTGATACCATAGTCCGTAGCTAGTTAGTGTGTTGGGTTGCAATGGAAGATTTATTAGTTGGATTATGAGATGGCTGCAAATTACATTTTGTTATAATGTTGTGCCATATATGATACATCATGTTTGGTTTAATAAATGTTAATAGTAATGTGTGCGCGCGTGTGTCATATATCATCTTGTAAAATGTGTTTGTTTTGTACTTCTAAAAGTTACTTCTTCAATTTTTTTTCTTGCATTAAGTAGTTTGATGGTGTGGCTATTTTTCATGTCACGGGATAATCCTCTTCAGAGCAAATAAAAAACCCTGTAACTTTTGGTTTTTAGCATCTGTCTTTTAACTTTTTTTTGGGGGAAAGGTGGCCCCTGTGTATTGGGGGAACATGGATGATAAAGAGCTAAGGCCCTTGCGAGATTTGACGCTGATAAATGGACCTTAGGCCTATCTCAATCCCAAAAGCCAGCTCAGGAGGTGAGGATTGCCCAAGTCCATATAAGGAGACCACCCATCCCCTTCATTGTTGATGTGTGACTCAACACCCCCTCTCACGCCCAGGACTGGACTTCTGGAGCGTGGACAATTATGGGGGCCAACATCGGAAAATCGGGATGGGTCCTGCTCTAATACCATGATAAATGGACCTTGGGTCTAACTCAATCCCAAAAGCCAGCTCAAGAGGTGAGAATTGCCCAAGTCCAAATAAGGAGATCGCCCATCCCCTTCATTGTCGATGTGGGACTCAACAGTCGCTTTACCTAAATAGTGCAGGGTGGAGTTGCAATCAGAAACTTGCAACTCTAATCTCGCTTTTAGTATCTACTTTGATGTCTATTTCTTTGTTTAATAATTGAGTGACATCTTTTTGTGTGGAAAATCACATGTTCAGGATTGTAGAAAAGAAAAGTAATGCTTGCCTTTGGATTGTCCTACAATTTTGCATTGTAGAAAGAAAGTAATGCTTGCCTTTGGCAGAACGACATTATAATGTTCTCACTAGAGTTCATGCTCTTTCACGCAGTGTGCAATTCACCCTAAGGACGATGTCAGAGCAAAAGCTATTCGCCTGGTATGCAAGTTTGTGACTTCTTTTGTGTTGCCTGCTGTGGGTTTTCACCTGCTGGCGACAATTCTTTTGGTTTCTCATCTATGGATGGTTGTATTTGAATCTCTAAAATGTTGGCACTTTTGATAGGTGGCAAACAAACTTTATGTGCTTGGTGACATTTCAGATAGCATCGAGCAGTTTGCTAAGAATATGTTCTTGTCAGCTGTAGACCAGCATGTTACAGATACAGAATATTCCCGGTCTGGAACCTCGGTTCAGAGAACAGGAGAGGTGTGTTCTTTTTTTGTGTTTCGCCCTTAAATTCTTTGTGACTTTTGCTTTGATTAATGTCGAGGCGAGTATATTTTTAACTAAATATTTTTTCTGATCTTGATTCCTCTTTTTCCTTTTTTTTTTTCTGGCTGCACTTGTTCCTTTAGTATTTGGTCTTGAAGTTGTTGCTTGTGACTCGTTAGTTTTAGAGGGTTAGTTTTAGAGGGTTCCGCTTGATCCTTTTTGGAAAATGTTTGTGGTTGGAGCTCATATTCATGTTTGAATCTCTTGTTTGTTTAGTTTCACCTCAGCTTGACCAATTTCTAAATAAATTTGAATATTTCATAAACTGAATAGATGTACTAGAAGGGGAGACATACCACATTGTAGGTATATTTGAAGCTTGTCGGCTAGGTTGTGTTCGAAGATACTGACGTTTGAATGTCGAAAAGTGAAATAAGACGTGCAATTTTAAAAAGATTTTACATGTTTCACCTTTATCCTTGTACAACTAAGATATTTTCTCTATAGTTCAAATACAAAGTATGTGTTTAACAGTGTTTAGATTAACTATTTCATCGAGAAGTAGCAGTTGCTTCTAGGGACCTAAAAGAGGAGGAATACATAGTCAGTGTATCACTATGAGGAGGAATACATATTCTAAATCTTTTTTCTTTAAACTGCGTGTTGTTTTGTAGTTAAACATTAACAATTGCTCAAAATGGTGTTGTGAATGCAATCCTTGCCTGTTTCGTTTGGTATAAGAACCCCAATACATCCACGTACATATCTAAGCTAATAATTGAATTCCTAGATAGGACAAAAAATGTGACGTGCTTAAAAGGTTTTTGTTAAGAATTATCTTTTAGAGTGAAACTTGTTCACCTTGACTCTGTCCAGAGATGTGTTTCAAATTTCTGAAATGATAGATTAGCTTTTCTATTGCTGCAAGACCTAGTAATGCAGTTGGTGAAGTCCAATATATGGATTGAAGAAAAAAATCTTTACTTCTGGGCTTCAATAAGATGAGGAGCACTGACCTTCTGTTTTTTTTTGGGTTTAATCTGCTCGTTCTGCACTGTTTGTCCTCTCTCTGGTGCTAAATTTTTCTCAACTAAGAAATATATTACTTTTTCCATTTGAATATTAACCTAAGAAATATGATTATCAGACAGGAAATCAAGAAGCCTCAGTTAGTGGTTCTCAGATTTCAGAGCCTGGATTGTCTGAAAATGATTCAGTTAAGAGTGCAGTATCTGATTCTCAAGTTGATTCAGAATTGTCATTGGCTCAAGCGCAGCGTCTTATCTCATTATTTTTTGCTCTATGCACCAAGGTATGGATAATTTGATAAGTGCAAGAGTATCTGCTGAAGGTGCACTTATTATGATGCTTACTCGGTAACTTTTCTTGCAGAAATTCAGTCTTCTCCACCTTGTATTTGATAACTATGCACGTGCTCCTAAGGCAGTTAAGCAGGTTTATTTCTTATTGTGCTCATCTTTTATCATCCTAGTAGCTGACTTGATAGCGGTTTGTTTGAGGTGAATTAATCATTCAAACCAGTCAGAACTATAAATAGGCCAGCAATAATTTGAGTGTCCACTGTGCTCCCTCTTTTTTTTTTTTCTAGTTTTCGTGTATTTACTGAACACCTTAGTGGCTGGTGCCTGGTGGTATCATTGTGTTTCCCCATGTTTCTTTGTCCTTTCATCCTGTACCCTTCCCCTCTTCCATGCTCTTGGTGAATTTCACATTCCTGTTATAAATTCTTGATCTGATGCAGGCTGTTCACCGTCATATGCCTGTTCTTATTAGGGCTATAGGCTCTTCGTGTTCTGAACTGCTTCATATAATATCTGATCCACCTCAAGGCTGTGAAAATCTTTTGACACAGGTAGGTTCCCTAAATTTCACTTTTAAATATTGCTTTTCATCTTGAAATCTCTTCTTTGTCATGATGACATTCTTTTGTCCGCGGCAAGGTGCTTCATATTCTCTCTGAAGGGACAACTCCTCCGCCCGACCTAGTTGCAGTTGTCAAGCGGTTATATGAAACTAAACTGAAGGTTTAGCTTCTTTCTTTCTGTTTTTTGTCTTCTCTTCTTCCTTGGTAGCTCTCAATCAGAAACTCCGCAGTTCCAACAGTGATACCCTAAATTCTTCTGCAGGATGCAACTGTCCTTATTCCAGTGCTCTCCTCATTTTCTAAGAGTGAGGTATTCTTATATTTGTGCATTTTTATTTCGGCAGACATTTTCAGCTCTTTTTCTCTCTCATTAAATAATGATATGTGATATATCTCCATCTCACTATCCCTGTATTTGTGGGGTGCATGGCATCTCGCTTCCTTTGGTTCTCTGGTTGTTATCCTTTAACTTATGATAATATATCACACTATATCCATTTTAATTTTGCTGGCTCAGAGGTAGTACTCCTGTCTATGTTTAGGTTTTTCCTGACAAAGATCGTTGTCTGGTTAACTTGGAAAGCTTTAGGGCTTTGTTCATGTCTAGGTTATGAATTATCCTTTCTTAAATAAATATTCTTAGTTTGGTGAGCAAAGCAATATTCTTTGCTTTCTTAAAAATATTTTCAATTTACCCTTTGGTTTCCTCCTGACCTGATATTGAAGTTCTTCTCATCCTTTCCTGTTGACTACTGCACTTAATTCAGAAAGAATTGTTTTTTATGAATCCTTTTGTTTTCATATTAGGTTCTACCTATTTTCCCAAGGCTTGTTGCTCTCCCACTGGATAAGTTTCAGATAGCCCTGGCTCGGATATTACAGGTCTAATTGAATTTTACTTTTTGCTTTGCTGTAGTTTTTAGTTAACTTCTGATTTCTCCGAGAACAACTTTTATGCTCATTCAATCTAAACATGATTGTCTTCTCATCTTCGTTGCTGTCTCTTTCTTCTTCTGAATATCATGCTCATTCAAATTATGTTACGTTTTAGTCTTTGTTTATTTTTCTTAGGGAAGTGATTTCGTGGTTACTTTTTCAAAGTCCACATGTACCTTTATTGTTTAATAGTCAGATGACAAAAATTCATGATCCGATGCTACTTCTAATTCAGAATTATATGTTACCTATTTTAATCTGAAGTGCACTGATCATTTGTTCTGGAGATGGACAAAAGATAAAAGTTCCTTTACTTGGTTCATGGTAGGGTTCTGCCCATACAGGTCCAGCACTGACCCCAGCAGAAGTGCTGGTTGCAATACATGACATAAATCCCGAGAGAGATGGCCTTCCACTTAAAAAGGTATGCAATTTCCACTTTTAGAAGTGTGTCTTTTGCTTTTGATGGTTGTTGCACTTAAACTTATTGCAACTTGTAGTACTAGGAAATCCATTGATATCTTGCCTCAGATGTTTTGCCTTGTATTTCCTAAGTTGTGTAATTCCCTTGTTTCGTGTTGAATTCTGTTGCTTCTCCCTGTTCCTTACAACAGATTCAAGATATAGTGAAAATGCCTTAAGCAGAACTACGTGCCAATTTTGTGATATTTTGATGTTATTATCTTTCAGATAACAGATGCTTGCTCAGCTTGTTTTGAGCAGCGTACTGTTTTCACGCAACAGGTCCTGGCAAAAGCCTTGAGACAGATGGTATGAAAAATATTGTAAATACAATTATACATAGATTGGGATTTTATGGATAATTTTTCAATCTCTGCGGCATTCATTTAATCAGGTTGATCAGACTCCTCTCCCACTGCTCTTCATGAGGACAGTGATTCAGGCCATCGACGCCTTTCCTACTCTGGTAAACTCCTGATGTTGTATTGTATATTAATCAGTTGGGTGCACGTAATCATGTTCCGGCCTTTTTACGCAATTGATTCGCTATAGGTCATTGTTTTTGGTTATCTGGAATATGAATTCCTTAAAAGTTTCTTTTTTTTTTTGGTTATCATTTGCACAATCTGCACTAATGTCATGAGGCCCTCAACTTGGAACATTCATAAATTCTGCCAAAAGAAGTATGGAATTTATGTGAGTATTTATGGTGTCCATTACTTGAGAGTAAGATTATCAATTGTTAAGGGGAGTGTGATACTGTTGAATGTCTTATTTGTATCAGACAAGAATTTTATAGCTTAAAGTTTGAACTCCCATTGCCACAAGTGTGATTACTACTTTTGAGAAGTAGAATATGGAAGAACGAGTTTATGGGCATGACTTTAACATCTCATGCTTCTATCCTTTTATATACACGCTTTATGATGAATACACTTCTTTAGCATATTCCCAAAGGCACATTATAGGAAAGAAACACCAGTAATCATGAGATTGCTGCCTAGAAGAATAATAAGCAGAAAGGATGAGAGGAGCTTCTCATCTGGCAGCAGAAATATCAACATTTATGGCACTTGATCGGTATTCCTTGCACATTCACTATTTCAGATGACAAGCAGTGAAGGTTATGTTAATAAACATTGTGCTGCTGATACTACTCCTTTAGGGCGAAGATTATGTTGCCTTGAAAGAAATTTAAAATACTATAAGTAACTTCTCTTTGGTGTGTTTTTGTATTCATTTTTGCCTTTTGGAATAATGTTTTGTTTCCTTTGTAAGTGCATGTCCTAAATTCGCTATTTCTCTCTTTTCTCCAGTTCAATATGCTTATCCAGATACACACACATAAGTTAACACGTCTTGGCATCTTAATTTGTTTTTGGATCATGTAATCAGACCTGCACGTGAAGGGGTGTGTTAAAGACACAATGTAAAAAAAAGTGTGCTCTCTCTAACAATTCAAGCTTTTAGATGAGATGGTCACACATTTCAAAACCTTATGCATGTGATTTATTGGTCTTGGGTTTTGATTTAATACAGAAGACCGTATAATCCAAGATATGTAATCCGTCTTTTCTCTTTCCTTCTTTTCTAGGGGGGTGGGGGGTTGGATTCTTGGATATTTAAGAACTAGGTCTTACACGTTCGCATAGTACTGCAAAGGCATTTCATCTAGATGTTAATGCAGATGAGTTAGAATTAGAACTTTAAAGTCGACAGTATGACTTTTGTGCTTAGCATGGGTATTTCTTTAATGTAGCTTTTTACTGAACATATATTTTGTCTGATGTGGAAGGAATGCAGTCAATGCGTGTGATATTATTTTTTTCTGATGTGATGTCTAGGTTGATTTTGTGATGGAGATACTCTCCAAACTCGTGATTAGACAGGTATTTTAATTCAAAATACGTTTAGGTTTCCCACTAATCACGAATTGTCATTATTTCGCTACGAACAAATGGTCACCCTATCACATGTTGGATGCAGGTATGGAGGATGCCAAAGCTTTGGGTGGGTTTCCTAAAATGTGTCTCGCAAACACAACCACATTCCTTTCCTGTGCTACTACAGGTATTATTTGGTAATTTATATTTTATTATATATTGTACATTGTACATGGAAGCACAATATCCATATAAGTGATACCTACTAGTAATAATTGGAAATAGGTTTTAGTCTTGTTGGTGCGCTGATTTTGAACCTATTACTTTTCTAAGAGTACTTTGACCTTATCATAGATTTATATGCCAGTAAAAATATAGAGAACTTTTGATATTTTTATTTATATATATTTAACTTCCACTTTTATTTATTTGATAAAATGATGACATGAGTTGAGCTCAAATGGAGAAACTGGTTAGTGGTGATTTATATAGCCGACATCAACTTGTTTGGGATTGAGGCGTACTGGCGTAGTTGTTTATTGAGCATGGAAGCACATTAACTTTATTGCGGTCTTTTGTCTTAAAATGCCTGGATCTTGCTTGCAGTTGCCGCCACCACAGCTTGATAGTGCCCTAAACAAATATGCTAATCTCCGAAGTCCATTGGCTGCCTTCGCAAATCAGCCAAACGTCAAAAATTCACTTCCTAGGTATATTCTACATCTGATCAACCGTTTTGTTTATGTTCCACCTTGTCTGGCTTGTTAACATTTTTTTCTGGTATTATCTCAACTGTCTCAATTGGTTTGACTAAAGTTCTTCATAGAATTTACCCACGTCATGTATTTTTGAGACATATTTTTGTGTTTTAGTTATTAAATAGTAGAAGTTCGGTTGCGACTTTATGTGAACTTAAGAGAAGAGCGAGATAATTGCATAAATTGTCCGTGATCTATGTTACACGCACTAATTTATTATGCTCAAAATTTTTCTCACGATATTTATAAATCAACTAGTCTTTTTGGTCACTGGAGTCAAAAGTTCTGGCTAGAGCGGGCACATACACACTTGGAAGTCTGTTGAAGAACAATTTAGGCAAATCACCAAACAATTGTTGAAATATACAGCACTATGAAAATCATCTTTAAATTCAGCAGAAGACTAGCTTGACCTTAATGCTGTGTTACACTATCCTTTACCATAGATGACACCTTTTTAACTAGTCCAAAATGTAGCCACAAAATCATGCTTTATCTTGCGAGATTTTTGAGAAAGCTGGAAAACTGCTTGTTCCAGCAGCAATATTCCCTCTATTTCACTTTCGTGCTGTGACAACCCTATCCCTCAAAGATAGCAGAGGGTGTAAATGTGGTGGGGTAGCGGGAGAGCCGGAAGTAAATGAGGATGAAGATGGTAGTAGGAGTTGGCGCATTATTGCAAATCTATTTTTCTCCAAGATATAATGCATATTATTCTTTTTGACCAGAAACTGTCTAAGGTGAAAAAAATCTATATATTAATCCGTTTACCTTGTTAGCATTGGAGGTGTTGGTATCAGTTATTCTTTAAGATAGGAGAAGACACTAGCCATTGTTACAGTTAAAATATGATGTGGTTTGGCGTTGGTGCAGATCAACCTTGGTACAACTTGGTCTTTTAAATGAATCAAATTTGCGGCAACCACATCTCTCATCTTCTATGCATGCCTCAGAGACAGGCTCTTCTGTCCATGGAACTACACTAACATGATAGTGCAACTTCTGCCAGCTGAGGAAAGAAGCAGCAAAGTACTACATGGATGAGGCAGCTTGACTAGTGCAGCAGCCCTTATTGCAACATAGTGCCACAGTTCGCCAGGGTTATGTAAATTACGGCTCATATCTCTGCTCTCCAGTAGTTGCACAATCTGCTGACGACAAGATGGCACATGGAGATGAAGTTCCCAAAAATTTTGGGGGAGAAATCTCTCTTCGGAGATTGTATCATAAATGTAGTCAATTTCCCTTGCTGTTTCCTCTATTATGTTGCTCTCCGCCTGCAGTCATTATTTGCCGGGCAGCAATTTGTGTTTTATGGTATTAGCATAGCTGGTAGGTCAGGTTCTTTTTAATCTTGTGTGAGAGGGAGGTGAGAAGCAAGTGTGTAATTGTATTCCTTCATTTATTAGCCCCTACCCACTTCCCCGATACCCCCCCCCCCTCCCCAACAAAGGGCTCTGCTAAAGAAATAATTAAAAAGGAAAAATTGACACTTTCTTCCGAGTTACCTAAAGGAAAATTAAGAAGAAAAAACAAAGTTGATTGGCGAATGGGAAGCAAATTTGGGGCTTCTTTGGCCATCCATTCGATCAACCTATGGTTTGGTTATTTGAGCCTTAACATGGTATGAACCGATTTTTGCCCGTGAGAGACTGGGACTGTAAACTGTTGAGCTCCCGTAGGTTGTAATTTAAGTTAGATTGACAGCGTTCCTCTATCAGCCTTGGGCTTGTGTAAGACTAACATTTTGAGTTTTTACACACTCCGTCCTCTATATTTGTAAGAACTTTAATTATAAGGTAAAACTTGCTCTAAAACTCCTTGGCGTTATACAACACGTGAGCCAAAATATCTTTATTTGTTATTAAACATTTTCGAGATTGTTGGGATGGCAGTTAGATACGGCAAAAATGTAGATCCGATCAGGAATCTGGATGGGTACCAAGAAGTGATAAAACATGGCTTGTTGTACTGTCTTAAAAATGAGACGTAATTCTTTCAAATGTAGTGAATTATTGGCTAGGGAATTTATAAAATAGGAAGAGAATGTGACAACAGCTTGTGTTCAGTGGAATACCAAGTAAGTCAACTTCAGTTGAATTTCTGCTATTCCGTTGGACATTTCCTATAGTAAGCGGCGACTAGGTCTCTTCTATATTACAAGTCCACCTACGTTGTGACCTCAAACGTTTTCGTACATTTCGGTGTCACCTTCTATACTTTTGCCACACCAAGCAGTGTCCACGCATGGGTAAATTACTTCAATTATTGACTACTATTATCTCAGATTCACAATGGTTTGAATTTCAATTTTGAACAAATTTGCGTGAAACAAAGAACTTATGCACATCAAAAAGAAAAAGAAGTTGCAGTTTCAGGTTTGATTGATTTTGCTTGCAAACTTGATAAATTTCCGTGAGAAACAGAATCGTAATAGATTACAATTTGGACAAAGTGGCACCTGCTTCCTGCTTCCGAGTACGATAATTCACAACCGTTGTATTCTGCGGCACGCACGCATTCCGCTTTTCAGATGGCAGTAGCATCCAATTTTGCAATGGAAACTGAAGGAACCACACTACTCTTGTCGTTAAAGGCAGCAAAACTCCATAATAAAACGAGTTTCGATGTGGTCAAAGAATATCTCCGAGAAAGTCAAAAAGGAAAATCAATCACTCTTTTCTCTATAGCTATCCTGTCATTGAAGGCATGCATTGCTGCTTCAACTTCGGCAATCAAGTAATTCCCCGATCTGCTTGAAAATGACAACTTCCTATTAGAAGTAGCACTGACATGTCAAAAAGTACTGCAGCTGAGTGCTTTCTTGTCTTTGCTTAGTCAAACTAGATATGGACACACCGGCAGAAATAACAATAATGCCAAAAGGCTCTGTGAATATTAGCAACAAAAAGGCTTCTAAAGAGTGCCCTAACCAGTAACCACCATCATATGAAATGCTACAGAGGATACTGTTCGGTGTACTAGGAAATATACAACTAATTAAAGATGAACAAATCCGTTCCAAAGACAGAGTGGAGGAAATGAATCGATCCTGGGAATAAAACTGGGTGATGTTAATTAAAGAAGCTAATTCCTCAACCCACCGCCACTCTTAGTTCTCTCAATTCGCGGTTGACCTTTTCTTTACGAGAGAAGGAGAGTTGTTGGTTTATAAGAGAGAATAAGAGGCACTGACCTTCTTGATGGGCACCATTTAGGGTCTTTGCACCTTGCTTGTGTTTCTCATGTGGTAGAGAAAACGGCATCAAGGTTCTTTTGAAGGAGCCAGCCTCTCGGATAGACAAGTCCATGAGCTTCTAGATGAAGGTGCCAATTCAATACCCTTGAGCAACCAGGGGGGATACCTTCCATTTGGCTTTCGTCTTCAACAATTTGTTCTATGAAAGTGGTTTCCTGCAAGTAATAACTGTGAGTAAATTTCCACCTTCAACCTGATCACACAAGCCTCTATTCCCAAAGTATGAAATCAAGGATTTAAAAAAAGAAGGAATATGACACATACTTGGAAACCCTCCTTCACATTGTCCAACTGTCGAATGGGATCTGAAGTTGGTCGATGCCATTTTTTTGGATCCCATAATATAGTGCTATTGAAGGCAAAGCCAGACATATCGACGTGGAATCTTCTAAGTTGCTTACTCTTCTCATTAGTGTGCCACCCAATAACTTGACTTCCATTACACACAGGGCCCTCCAGTGTTGCTTTGCTTTTACTTTGCGCCAGCATAGCAACAGGCCAAGTGCCAAAACGACTATAAGAGGAGATCATAATGAAACAGAAGCAAATTAGAAATGAAAAGACGAAAAGGAGAACAATGAAGTGAAATCTGCAAAAACGATTGTCTCCTCCTTCAACTTATAGCCTCCAGAAACAGTCATAATCACAGTACGCTACATACATATTACCTCTCATACCAACAATAACAAATAGTAGCTCATGTCCTAGTTCAACCATTCTATTTTCACCATGCTTAGATAAGACCGAACTTCATTTGTACTTCACCAGAAGTGTGTCCGCAAGTGGATAATATATTTCTTGAATAGTTATGCTTACTTTACCATTGATAAAAAGCCCTGTAGCATCTTTCCACAACATATTCAGAAAGCATGGAAGAGTCTACTTTCTTTAAGGAAGTAGAGGATCTGGGAATAAACAATTGGATCAATTACTTCAACACTCGGGGAGAATCTTAAGTCAGGTTTACATATTCCAGAAATTCATATAAAACTAAGGCATATATCATTGCGAAAACTCAACCTTTGCAGCAGGGGCGGATTTATAGGGGAAAATATGGTCTCTTTGCAAAATTATATATTTTATGTACATATTTTCTAAAATTGGTATAATATTAACCGTTGGCATCAATGCTCCAAGAAGGTTGAATTGTGCACTTGGTTGAAGGTTGAGTTATTTACCAAGAGGAAGAGGGATCAATTCTCACTTAATATATTTTTTTCTCTTTTTTCTAGTAGTGCACCCATGTACTAGAAATCCTAGATCCGCCTCTGCTTTGCAGCAGGCCTATTAGGTGTTTCTGTTCAAGTATATGCTAAAACTGTAGATATCTTACAATTAAAGCCTGTTAGATGTTTCAAAATACAATTAAAGATATCTTACATGCATTGGCATTCTGATCATCAGTTTATTGTACCTTTCCAGCAGCACTCACTGGGCCTCACAAGGAAGGAATCAAATGAATAAGACTAAAGTATGGACAAAAAGAATCTGTAGGCCATTGCTTAGGAAATTCTCCAAGGTTTATCAAACATATTTCAGCACAATTAATAAAAGAACAGGGGCGATTAACATGTCACTACTCAATCAGATTTTATTTATTTTCTTTAATTCATAAGTTGTTAAGAAGTCTTATCAGAAGCAAAGATCATGGATTGCTGCCAGAGCAAGCAGAAAGCTTAGTTTCTCTTCAGATAATGGCATCGCTTAAGTTAGAAAGAGCAAAGGATTAAAGGTGGCATTTCGGTGTGGGTGGGTGGGTGGGGGTGGGGGGGGGGGTTTAATCATCATTAGCTTTGCCTCCTACAAAAGACAACAACAACAACTCAGTGTAATCCCACAAGTGGGTCTGAGGACCTCTTACAGAAGAGGAGTCCGCAAATATTCCAAGAGTAAGAAAACAAATTGATTGGATTCATATTGATGATAAGGATGTCCATAATAAGAATCGAAGGTGCGACGACCTTACGTCACTCCGAAAGGTTTAGAATGTGATTCCATGAGTCCAGCATGCACTATATATATGTATCTATTTTACTCTACTGAGCCGCGCTATAATCAGCCGGGTGACACCTATTGTGCAGCCATTGATCAGTTGGGTTTTACCGAGCTCCACGTGGCGGGGTACGATTCTACCGAGCCTTATGATAGCCGGTTACGTTTTTACCAAGTCCTCTTCGAGGCCGGGTACGATATGATGATGATGATACCCACAGAGGCGTATGTTTTTAAAAGTATATATATATGTATCATGCATTTCATGTCAGTCGTCCTCAGAGGCACTCAGATGTTATAGGTTGTATCTCTCTATCTCTCTTTACATTACTATTCTTATTTATGCTTTCCTGCCTTACAACTCGGTACTTTATTCGTGCTGACGTCCCTTTTGCCTAGGGACGCTGCGTTTCATGCCCGCAGGTCCCGATAGACAGGTTGACAGCCTTCCTAGTAGGCTATCAGCTCAGCGGAAGGTGTTGGCGCACTCCACTTGCTTCGGAGTTGCCTATTTGGTCAATATGCTTTGGACATGTGATGATTGAACAAAGATTCAATTGAGGAAAAAACAATAAAAACTGGAAACCTCAATTTGCTACTCATTAGACTTGTCAATGGTGGCAAAGAACCAACCATCTTATCCTCCAGAAATTATATTGTTCCTGGAAGAATTTCGTGAGCTTGTCGGGAAGAATTACTGCCGCCTGTGAGATATATTCAACAAGAGAGATGTTTACCATTTACGAATCAACCTTGGAGTACTTTGCAGGAAAAGTTAGAAACTAAACTGATGTATTTGTAACTAAACTGTTACTTGAAGTATTCGTAACCTACTTTATTACACGGTAGGTACACAAAGAATGGAGTTTAATTTTGCTCAAGGCTGAGTTTTTGCTCAGAATAACTACTTTAGCTAGGCAATTTAAAAACTCCTTTCAAGGATGTTTGCGCGCATAAACCACAATTAGAGATGATAAAGGAGCAGAAAGACCTAGCAAAAGGCGACCATTAGTAAGGTTCGGGAGAGGCGAGGCGAGGCGGGACTATACCTAACTTTAATAAAATTTATAGCTGGATGAAGGGAAGGTTGTAAGCGGAGACAAGTTAACTCCAAAACCAGTTACGTCCATTTTATGGAAAATTGTTCTAGAAACTATATTAAAATTACTTTTCCTTATACAGACAGCTTGACTAAGCGGAGAGACAAATAAGCTTCTTCTTTTTTTTGGTTAAGTAGAGAGAAAAGTAAGTTAAATTCACCTACAAATGAGAACTCTTACGTATATTTTTAATAAGAGCTCTGAATGTTGACTACGATAGCAAGCATGCCATACTAATTATGGTGATAAAATGTATGAATCTTACATTTCAAAATAACAACAAAAAGGAGGGAAATCATCAGTACAGAATGTAATTTGACTCTCAGAATAAAGATGGGAAGGATAGATGTTTCTTGTAGACTTCCTCAAAAGAAGAGAAAGTGGATGAAGGCATCACAAGTATTTTCTCTAAAGAAAGTGGATCACAAGCGACATCAATTAATCTATGTTAAGGATCGAGCAAGCAATCTTAAGTTGGAAGAGTGTTTTTGCAATGATAAGCCAGAGCTCTTCACATCCTTATCAAAAAAAAAGAAAAAACCAGAGCTCTTAACATTCTCTACTAAAAAAGGTTGAAGCACATCTGTCAAACCAAGAGGTCGAAGTACATCTCCGTCAAGCCAAGCTTTTTCTTTGGCATCAATTAAGAAAGAACAAGATCAACTTATTAAAAAAAAAAACAGGAGCATAATTCCATTAATAATGAAGATGCTGCGTTTGGTGGGCATGCCAGAGTTGAAGCCCTTCTAAAGTTAATCATCCAAAGCACATATCTTTTTCTGTCCACTTATCAGATTCACACAGACTATATTTACCAAAAGAAGGGGATTTCATCATACACTAACAAGACGGTCATTTTCTCAGCTTTTAATCTAAGGAATGACATTTTGAAAAAGAATTGAAATGATAATGAAGCCAATTGAGATCCAAAAATCGCACAATCTAAACCCAGAAGGATATCAGGAAATTTTTTTGTTAGTGAAGTCGTAATTAAATGGGAAATAGCTCCGGACTATGCACCACATCGATAAACTTAAATATCTACATAAAGCACATGACATCATCTTGAACTACAGTAACATGGCATGTTCACAGCAGGTCAAAACAAAGACAAGTCATGTAAACAAGTATGATCAATCTCAACTTACTTGATCGATCTAATGCTCTCAAACAACTCAAGGGAGTAAATATTATCATCATCCGCGAAGTAAACAATTCCATCGAGTCTATGATGTTCAATATGCTCCAAAGCAACATTCCTTTGATGCACCCCGCGGTCTTTTATATCCGTCATGTTCTTGGAACACACTAGATGCCGGTACATAACACCAGTCTTCCTCAAAATGTCTGCAGTCTCAGCAGACGCTGCATTCATCTCAACCACAATCCACAACAGAGGTGACTTCACGATCTTCAACACCTCGCTCAATCTATTAAGATAGTAAGCTTGAAGTGCCCTATTATAAGTTGGAGTCACCACAATCAACAGTTTCCTCGGTACATAATCAAACTTCCCTTTCACTTCATCCACCAAACTACCAGGTAATTTAACTGAGTTTACCACAACATTATCAGGTCTAGGGATTACAACATCTTTCATCTCCTCCTTAACATTCACTACAGATGGCTTGATCTCAAATGAAAAATCACGGCTCCTCGCATCATCAAAATCACCAAATGGTGCCATACCTAATATAAACCCTAGCAAGAAAAATATCAAACACCTATAGAACAACTTCTTCCTGGATATATAATTTTTCCGAGAATATAGTATCGAAGAGCTTTTGCCGTTTAAAATGAGCTTATGAGATGGCGATTGAACTGAAGATTGGTTTCCATTCTGATAATGCCGTTCGTGATTCGGTGATAGAGTTCTTCGGATGGAAGCCATTGATTAAGTCGCGAGAATCAACAAATAGCACAGAGAAAAATACTCCTATTACATCAACAGATACGTAAATTCGATGATCCTCTCACACTGAATCGACAAATAGCAGCGAAAATGCCAGAAGAATCAACCAGAGCTTATCATAAACAAAAAATATAGAAGATCATACCAGTGCAGAAGATTCAGTTTGAACACAAGCTTCGCGAAGCACAATTGCTTAAACCGAAACCCTAGAATCACGAACAGAACCTATTTTCTGAATCAATGTTTGATCAAATCTGGCTGATTTGGTTTAAAAAAATTGAATGAAATCTATGCTGAAAAACTGCACTTTCAGCAGAAAAGTAAGCAATTCCACGTAGCAGATTCAAGAGAATTCAGTAAAAAATGATTTAAAATTCAGGTGAAAAGGCAGCTAAGATGTTCCGATTGATAATATTTTCCGGTGGAATTAGAGATTTTGAGTGTCGGCCGAAGAAGGAGTCCAGTTGCGGCCGTAGAGGCGCGGGGGTGTAATGTCGCATCAAGTACGGTGCGCGCCAGATAAGCAGAGCTGGACGTTAGTTGTGACTAACGCGCGCCAGGTTGGTGGGCCCATTAGAAACTGACGCGTGTTTTGTTGTTGCCTGGGGAGGCAGCTTTTTTATTATTGTCGGAGAGAAACTTTAATTCACTCCCTCCATGGTGATTAGGACTTTAATTCACGGTGTTTTGGAAAAGCTATTCAACCAAAAAGTGTTAAGCCCTTTTTAGTTAAATCAATATAAAGAATAGATAAGGGGTGAGTTCTAACCAAAGATAATTAACTCTAGATTAAAGAATAATAAGTAAGAAGAGTTGAGTAAGATTAAGATTATGAACTCATTAAGATAATGGAAAAAATCTAATGTATATGATAGCTTACACTCATTCTCGGCATCGTTAATCCATAATGTAAAATAAAGAAGAAGGAAAGAAATCACCATTAATGATCACGGGGTGTATCTTTATTTATTCCATAACAATGGCTACAGAAGATGAAGAGCAAAGTTCTAAACCTTCTCTCGCCTTCGAGATGGATTCTCCTATTCCTATCCCCCGTTAGTGAATTCGTCAGAATCCCCCCTTTTTCGTTCTCTCACCTAGTATATATACTAGATATTCTCATTTACACAACGATCATTAGCAGAGTACCCAAGTCATTTAGCTGTATTACAGACTGACCCTCTGAAATGCCGTGACATCCAATTCGCCGTACAAACATTCTGAGTACACGACCTCGGCCGTGGCCGAAGTGCTTGTCGCTGTAGCGTTGTACGAATACGACTTCAGCCCAAGTGACTTTGCCGTCCCTCTTTACACAGATTCTTGTTTGGTCAGATTTCGACCCATACAGTTAGTCCCTCCGCCTGTCGGGGTCGCCCATGGGCGAGCTCGGTAGGCGGACCTTGCCAATTCAAAGGTTTTGAGAAATCTGAGCACTTTGGTTGATAAGGGAATACCCTATGGTGAGATAACGGTGTGACGTTTCGAAAGCTGCACCAAACCGTTGCATCAGTTCGAAATATCATTCATTCGTCATGCGTCATTATGGCGCACGCTCTCTGTGCATTGCATCGTTTCCCGTGCCTTTTCCATTTTCAAATATGGTGCTCGATTTTTTCGCTCAGGGTATTTATATCCCTATAAATGGGGGAAACTCTTATATTTGAATGCTGTGTTTCCCAATCGTTCAAGAGAGACTTTCGCAGCCTTTCTTCTTCTCCCTCGGTTTCTCATATTTCCCTTTCTGTTAAAAATTCTTGTGGCCGCTACCTTTTTCCTTTATCTTTCCCGATTTTCACAATCAAAGAAGAGATGGCTAGTGCATCCTCTGACCCAGAGAGAGTTGCTGGTGCCCTTGTGCCGGAAATTGATATGCCTCCACATGAAGAGGATGTAGTTACGGCGGAAGATGAGAAACCGTGGATGAGGTGGTTCCTCGCCTAGGGAAGGCAATGACTGACTTCAAAAGCCTTGCCGAGGATGAGTTTGAACTTGTTATTTCTACGATGGATGCCGCGGCGCTCACAGCATTCAAAACCAAATGGGGAATCCCTGATCACATTGAACTAGTTCCGACGGGTCGTGACATAGTGCATATACACCGCCCGGGCCACTGCGCGTTTTACGCATATCCATTTGTCATTGGATACACGCTTTCCCTTCCTTCCTTGGCGGTGGACTTCTGCCGCTTCTACGAGGTATGTCCGGTTCAACTCTCTCCGTACATATACAAGCTCTTCCTTATGCTTACCAAGTACGCGGAGCTGGCCGATCGGGGAATTTCTCTACAACACATGCTTCACCTCTTCGCTCCCCATTTTTATAGGGGCACGATGATTCACCTTCGTCACCGATGAACCAAGGGTTTGGCGGTAAAGATGGATGACAAGGCCAATCGCCGCTTTTGGGATAACTTCTTCTATGTCCGAACAGAGCATGTGGTATCGAACCCTGCGGGGTTTCCTGAGGCGTGGAATTTTCCCTTTAGGTCTTTCTTTTCTTTTATTATATATTTTATATTTTTTTTTGAAAATGGTTGTTGTTCGTCTCCCTTTAATGATTTCGTCGAGTGTTTTTTTTATTTTCGCAGCCGAGAGAGTAACTCCTTTGCAAGTTGCTAATATTCGCGATTGGGTGAGCTCGATTCTGCCCCACACGATGGGGATTCGCGAATGGGCGCCTTTTCACGAGAGGTTGTGCGCAAACCTTCCGCTGGTGAGTCAGCTTGTTTCGGCCTTAGTTGCTTTGTTCTTTGCTCCGTCTTTTTCTTTACCTTATATCTTTGTTTGGTCGAATGTCTCTCCTTGGCAGGTCGGAGAGGAGCGAGAAGGGCGAGGGCTCTTGTCCTTGCTTTCCGTCAGCCGGCTTCTTTTGCCCGGCCCGTACCAAGGGCAGCTATGGATGAGGGCGTCCAAAGTCTGGCTGTTCCGCAGACCGCGCCCACATCCGAACATGTTCGTTTGGAGGCCGCTCTTCGGTCGGACACTCCGGTCCCCACAGTCCATTCGGCGGACGAACCTTCTCTTGGTGGTGGCAAAGAGGCCCCATTGTTGATACCCAATTTTTCCCTATATATTTTTAAATATGCATAAATAACTTCAAAATAGCATATATATGCATATATAAGCATGCACAAGGTTTTATAATTTTTTTCATAATTTTAAGAGCTTAAATTGATTTATTTTCTCCCATTTTATTCATAAAATCCCCAATAATTATTTCTCAAACTATTGTTATGTTGATTTATTCATTTAATTTCTATACTTATACCAAAATGTGGTTAATATATTTTTTATGCATATTTATAACTGCATTTGGTATTTTTTTAAAGCTAAATTGCATATAATTGCAATGTTAGCCTATTTAGTGTATGATTACATTTTGTATGCGTAAAATTGGTCCATATATTTTCAAAATGATAATTACATATTTTAAATCATTTTGGCACATAAAATTATTTTTAGAAAACTATTTATTATTTATTATAAATTAAATAAGGAAAAATGGCTATATAAATTATAGCCAGATTTAGCTTTCAATTGTAGCCCAAATTGAACCCATTCCCCAGCCTAAATTCATACCCAATTAACCTGACCCAGATCCTAATTACACCTACCCGACCCAAAACCCATCAGATCCTGGCCGTTGATCTTTTAGATCAACGGCCCTCGTTTATTTTTTCCTTTTTAATTCTAAACGACCACCCTAACCCTACTCATTTCCAAACCCCTGCCGCCTTCAGATGCTCTCGACTCTTCTCTTCTCTCAACCTAACCCTAATCTCTCTTCAGACGCCGCCTCCCTCTCCGGTCATCTCCGGCGACCACCTTTCAACCCCAAGCCTCCAATGGTCCCTCCATTGCCTTGCTCATCTTCTCTGAGGCCTTCAAAGGCCTTGGGCCACGCCGACTTATATCTAGGGTTACTGTTTTGGTTGTTCATGGCTTCTCCGGTGTGATTTTGGGCAAAATCACACCATATTTGTTACGATCTTTGAAGTTTTATAGCAGGTTCTTCCGTTTCTATTTGGGTTTCCTTCGAAACCCTAACTTTCGTTTGAATCTCTTAGATCTGCGCTATTTTTAACGATTCAAGTCTGTTTCTTTCTATGCTCTACACCAACCTCTTTTAAAAAATCATCAACTTTAAGCCGTTTTTACTTTCTTTAAAGCTAGGGTTTATCGGAGTTTCTTCTACACTTGTTTAAACTGATTTTCCTTTATGTTTAAACCTCTTTCCTTGCTTATCTTGACTGATTCTATGTTCTTACTGCTTTTTTAACTCACCTATGTTAAAAGCCCTAATTTTTCTTTCTAGATTTTCTTTGTTTGGTTCTGTGTGTTAGCATGACTACTCGAATCTTGTTTAAGTTTCTGTGGTTACCTTGCCTCGAATGTGTTCTTACTGAGTCCTTAGCCTACTTATATCATCTCTGTGTGATTGTGTTCATCTTGATTGTTCAAGACTTGCCTCTTTCTGTCGATATTGCTGACCTTGCCTGTTTGCTACGTCTGTTTGTTCTTCCCTATTTATATGTTGAAGTATAGAATCATAACCCTCTCTTCATTGATTCTGATTTCCTTATTTTGATAGTTTGATTGAAAGATTTTCGTTTAAAACCCTAAAATTCTACCTTGCCTGTTTAAATTGACTGATCCCTTACCTTATTTGCTGTGGTACTTTATTTTCACTAAATCATTCCCTTAATTGAAGTTTTCTGAATTTAGTCCTAATTGACTGCCCTATGCTTACCGAACTTTGATTCTTTCCTTATTAGTCATGTACTGATTTTTCTTGCCTTATATGCTACTGGTTCTTACCGTTTGAATTAGTTCCCTTAATTAAGGAGTACTTGCCTTGATTTTCTGATTGCTTGATTCTGAGTTCCTCAATTATTATGCTACTATGATTTTTACCTTATTTGCTACCTGTTTTCAAACTATAAATACTCTAGTCTTTCATTAGCACAACACACGAACACTTGGGTTCAAAACTATCTCTCATACTAAAAATCTCTGCTCTCTCTCTTATGCTATTTGCTACTGTTCTAAGTTAGCCGGCTGCAAGCCAAGGCTAACCATTTGTGCTCTCTTGTTCCTTCATTCTGCTTACTCTCCTCTTCACTGGTATGTCCTAGTTTCAATTTAAAATTCCAACAACAACATGATTATTATATTGTTTCAGTTCTTCTTGTTTCTGGTTTGCTTCTATTTATGGTTCTGTTGTGAAACTTGAAGTTAAGAGTACATTACTAGCATATTATTACATCTCCCCCCTTCCTTAAGATTAGTATATTCCCCTTTATATGTGTTGCTGAGTATGGCTCACCAATTGTCTCTTACTTGTTGTATACTTACCATACCATATCCCACGAATCCCCTAATCCCTATCACCCCTCTATGTGGCTGTGTTCTTCATGTCTGGTTTGGTGACTGTGCCAGGGTCAGCTGTTTCTGAGCATGTCTAAACCAGTCCTAGACCTTTGCTGGGTTATGTGTGTCCCAACCCCCCTTGACCCCTGTGTGTGACTGCTGAATTTACTTGGTTTTGTGAACTAGCTGTGTATGAACCTATCCTAA